AGCTCTAGATCGCATCAAGTGGAGGAACTGTGGACCTGTCGTCTCGACAGATTATTGATGAATGAATGAATGAGGAATTGGAAGAAAATGGTCATGGCATTATCAAGGTATTATCCCAGCACTCATGGAGGTACTGAGGAAAACCATGGAAGGAGCCAGGATGGCTGGTGTCCTAGACAAGGCTGGAACCAACCACCTCCTGAGTACAAGTCTCAAATGTTGCTGGCATGCGAACCTGCTCAGTGACAAAACTTTGCAACTTATAATCTTCACAGAACATTTCATTTTCAGATCATTGCCAAGTCCTTCCACTCTTCTAGTCTGGCCGAACTATATTGTTCTGGGTTATTCCATTTGGGTACTGAGTGTCTGAATCTGGAAAAAGGGCTGTTCCATCATTTATGCTGAATGACTGAGGAAGATCATGCACAATGTAACAGGATCTAATAGCTAACTTTCTTCATGTTGTTAGCCTCCGAGTTCCATAACAGCAAGTAATGTTTTGACTACACAAACTGTTCGAAGAAGAGCCAGTGGCATGTTATCAGCCTCGGATGAGAAAAAATACATACAGATATTTGGTGTGGAAAAAGTCTGCTGTTTTGACCAACACCAGGGATTGCCTTTTCTTGTCAACATAAAAACAGAGCAAAACCTAGGGAACCAGGCAGGACAGTGAACAGAGGTTACAGAGTAAAGACATACACAGGCTGTTCTCATTATGTTTATGGTACATGAAATTACAAATTGGGTACAAGTATTACACACACACACACATTCACTTCAGAGATGGTGATGCAGAGTCAGTGCCCTGACTTAAGATATGACAACATACAGTCTTGTAGACAATTACCAACTTGCTGTGCAAGGTTCCTCTGGAATATTGGCAACAATCTATCAAACTACATGATGTCCCTAAAAAAGTCAAGTTGTCCCTGTGCTTAACTAAATTAGCATTATGCTATGAAGACTTATGGGGGGAGTGAAGGTATAGCTCCACCATTCTTGACTTTGGCACTAGATGGAGGTGAGTGACCAGCTTCATGCCCTGGTTGCTCTACCTCCCTGAGGAAAGAGACCCAAGTACCCATTGGACAGAAGACTGGGTGGGCTTCAGAGCCAGTTTGGATGTTGTGGAGAAGAGAAAAATCTTTCCTCTGCCAAGAATCAAACCCTAGTTGTCCAGCCCATAGCCTGTCACTATAGCGACTGAACTATGTCCCTGAATACCACAGTCTTAATATTTACTGTTGTGAAAACTGATGTTTCTTCTTTTCTGCACTTTAACACAGTACACCATGACACATTTAATGATTCTCTCAACAGACGTGATAACAGTTATGTTGGACAGTTTCCACCATCTTAGATACATTGAACCAACCAAATTTCAGAAGCTGGATACAATCTAATATTCACTATACTGACATTCTTATTTACTGTTTAACAATCCTGTCAGTAGCTCAGACTGCTGCTGAATGATAAGATCGGTGAACGATGAATTGGAATCGATGTGACTGGAAACAGTCATAGGTTGATCTGAGACTCTGAAGGACTGAGGAAACACATGGAAGACTTCGGACAGGATGCTGGGCCTGTGGCCAGATATATGAACCTGGAACCTCCTAAATACAAAGCATGTGACACCTGATTCAGTCTGTACAGTGACTAGCCTACAGAGTGGACTTGGACTTGATCCCAGGCAGGGATCAGCATCCAGACAGGTTCTGGGATCCAATTCAAATGCACTGCAGGTTTCTTCCCAAAGATACAGTGGCTGAGGCTGACCAATCACTTCCACCTGGTGCCTAGGTTAAGAATGCATGGAGCTACACCTCCACTCTCTCACAAAGTCTTTACAGTGTGGTGCTAAATTAAGCACAGGAACAACTTTTACTTTTCAATTTATGTAAGCAGAGGAGTATGGATACTTCCCCCGGGAAATGGTTGCTCCCCAGTATCCAGTTGCTGAAACTTTGAAGTGGGACTAACGCCCAAATTAAGAAACCAAATTCACTCACATAATTAAAATAAATATTGTGACTGAGGATTCAAATTACATCCAGAACTCTACTTCAGTACTCACATATCACTTTAACAGCTGTGGCTACCATACATACTGGTAAGTAACTTTCATAATATCGTTGCATTCTCTAGTAGGTTCACAGTAAGAAACGGGTCTTACACTGCTATATATTAGTGGCAGAGGCCAGCATCAAACCCACAACCCTGTGAATACTAATCTAGTATGCTAAGAACTACATAACCAATGGGAATTCAGAAGCAGTAACAACCATTTTAAGGTGTCTGTACATTGTGAGAAAAACCATCAAACTGTCACCAGGGTAGCCAACTTATAAAGTGAAGAGTATCTTGCTAACATTCTGATAGGTCAAACCTGCTCACTATAGACATACTGCCACACTGCTCCACATCACCAGCTTGATGTATACAGTATAATAAACCAGAGCAAGAGACAAATTCACTTTAATAACATCCAGGAAGCTGACATGAATACTTCTCAGCAAACATCATGGCACTAACATACCCAGCATTTGCACCATTGTCTTCTGAGCTATGACAGCGTGCAATCTTGTATATAGATACCAATGTCTGGAGGCATGTGATACCATGGGTGGGGGGGGTTGGGCATTTGGCCCCCCCTTTCCCCAGGATGTTTGGAAAGAAATTGAAACTGAAGACGAAAAGGAAGAATACCAAATTTTAATAATAAAACTTAAATGTATTCCTAAGAAATTCTTCTACTCTGCATGCTTTATGGTCTTCAGTAAAAACAGTGTTACATGGCTTAAGCACAAATCTTACATCTGCCACCCTCCCCTCCGAAGCATTCTGGCTGTGGTCATGATATGTCCACCTTCAACTAGTCACTTCAATGTCTGTGGGAGCACCTGGAACGTTGGTAACAACCTACCAGACTGCACAGTTGTGTCGGCAGTTTGCATCTTCACAGCCAAGAAAACATAAATGCCATGTTCAGGTTGAGTGTGGACAACTCACCATGGTCATACTTGCCAGCATAAATACCGTCTCTTATAAGTAAAATTGTGCTCAGCCAAACAAGAAAGTTTGTTTTGTTTGGTTGTAAGTTGTTTACTGATGGTGTCGATACTTCTTGCACAGCGAGCAGCTTCATAATTTGTACTCTTCACTAAATGTTACTAGAATGATGAAATCAAGGATAAGATGGCCATGGCACATAGAACCATAGAACTATGTGAGAGAATGGCATACAAAGTTTTGGGAGGAAAATCTGAAGGACAAAGATGAACAGGAACACCAAAGAACAGATGGGAGGATAATATCCAAAAATGGATCTCAAGTAAATAGAATGGAAGGGTGTGGACTTGATTCATCTTGCTCAGAACTGGGGACAGTGCAAAATGCTAAGAATTTCCTGAGTAGCTGAGCACCTATTATCTTCTCAAGGACTCACCTCCATGAAGTTAGTTAACCAGTAACTCAGGCCACACAGTGTTCAATGGTAGGATGAGGCATGAATAATGAATTTGAAAGGATGCGGAAGGAAGCACGCAAGGCCTAATTTGAGATATTATTCTGGAATTTACTCGGAGAAATCGAGGAAAACTATGAAAAATCTCAAGACAGGATCATCAGTCTCCAGGTCAGTATTCAAACTCAGTGTCTCCTGAAGTTAAAGCAGTAGCTCTGTCCAGTCAACCCTGATGTTTAGCAAAGGGCCTCTGCCTTATGACGACTGATGGTGACGGGGAGGTCCACAAGTAATGACCATATTTGCCACATCTCTTCTGCCTATAAGAATCATGACTCATACCAATAAACACTACAAATGCCATATCATTCTCCACATGACTTTCACCCTGGTTCTAATCTAATGTCCACCAATCCTAACGATTTATCTCAGTAAAACTATTAACAATGGTCTACCATTCACTGTATTATGTTGTGGTGTTAGCAACAATGTCCTCTGCATGTCTTGCACTTGAAGATGCACTTCTCTGCTGTGGAACAAAACCTACTAGGAGCCGGTGGACTCCAGTCTGTGACTACTTCTGACAGTGTTATGGACTGTGAATGCACCCTTGCTACTTGGATGTCTGATCAGTTACAGGCAGACAGCAGAGTGCATTCAGCCTAAGTCAATTAAAATAATGTCACTTCTGGCTTGGTCTATAAAGCACCCACATTCAAGGACTGAATTTCAAACAGGTGAATGAATTCTGGATCATACTGGCCTGTCACAGGGGCATGAACTCATGCGAGGGGGGAGAGTGTGATATTGTCACAGAGTTTCGAAGCCAACCGACTTCACATAAAATTCATGGTGGAAGAAATGGCACTATAACAGAGTTCTTCTGAGTTTCTTTGGTTGTCTTGTCAACTGCCATTCTACCACTGGTCTATACTCATGTGCATCTGCCTGCTTACAGAGCAAGGAAGTCTGAGCTCTCTTCTTTTTCAAATTCATCAGCTACAAAATGGGTGCAAGCACACAACTTTCTGTCATGGTGACAGAACATTTGATGTTCAGACATATAATTAACTTCATGACAAGTTGGAGCCCACTGCAACCAGCAAAAGAATTTGTCGTCATGGGGTCTTGCTATGCAAGCTACACTGAATATAAATCACTGGCATGAAGGCAATATCTGGTGTGCAGGGGTCAGACAGATATTTATCTATGTGCTAAAGTGTGCACAGCAAACAGAGAAAAAATATGGCCACTCTTGCTTCTCATGACCAAAATACTTGGAAGTCTGTCAATGATTTTCTATTCACATAACTCCTCTGTGATCCTGCTGTCCCCTGCACTAAATTAGCATGAGGTGCTGCCCATACAGTGCAGGAATATACCAGTGGTTCCCAAGGGTTAGCACATTTAGCTGTCAATGTACAGCATATAATACAGGAAATGATACAGGGCCTTTTCAGCACACACCTGTCGCCAAACTGCCTGTTCTTTGCCTGGGTTTCATTACAAAAATGTACTCAGAGAAATGTATCATTTACCATGATGTGTATATATTACCACTGGTCAAAATTCTATTATCTATCATCACTACAGTGCTGCACAGTGATCACTCGATGCATTAAATGGCTGCCAAGCGACGATACAATGGTGAATATAGATAAGTTTTTCACTACAATAACAGTCACAGCTTCCTAGCAACCAGACCAGATAGGTACATATAATAAACAACACCAGGTAAAAAAAATTCTATGTAATGCCAAGTAATTACATACAATTCAAGAGTTCTCTGTTCTGGGACATAATGGTGTGTAGTCCATTGCAAGTCAACTAGTGTTTCACAGGAATATGCTGCCTCCATCTTCACAGTTTGCTACCTGCTTCATCCCGCTTTCTTGGTTGAAGACAGAGGTGATATGTTCCTCCAGAACGCTACCCGACTTTCAACAAACTGCACAGCATTATATCCCAGAACACAGAAATCTCCACAATGACCGCTGTGAGAACCTAAAATCCTACAGGTACAACTCAGTCCTGTGAGTGAACCATTCTGCCATGAACATCGGGAATTTGGAGAAGGGGGCAGGAGAATTTTTAAGACCTTGCATGCCACCTAGAGGCAAGGGGATATAACTACATACTATCTGAAGTACTTGACAGGACAGACAGCCACAAGCGTACTGCTTAATCAGTAATGCCATGGCAAAAAGTTGTCAAGCCCAGGGTGCATTAAGAATGGTAGCGTCCATGCCCAGCTTAAGGACAAAGCAAAGAGCAATTCTGGAGACTGAGGTCAGCACAACAAGGGTTACATGAACACTAAATGGACCACCATTTTCACCCTTTCCAGCCTCACTGCTGCCAGCCACATATTAATTTGCAAGAAAATGTAAAGACATTCTGGGCTGGGAAAATACAAAACTCCTGCCATCTGTTGTTCCTATACACAAACTACTGGAAGAGATATCAAAGAATGTACAGAGCAAAGATATAGCATTAACTTTGTGAACATTGTGTGGTGGCAATTTGTTAAATTTACTGAGTTTAGGCTTTCACGGTGGTTAAATTTGGATGCCAACAAAGTTCCAGGGTGGCTACACACTATAGATGTGGGCAGAGTAGCTGCTGTGTCATCAGGGGGGTACGTGCTACTGAGAGAGCCATTGGGGTGTGGGGAGCACTGCTGTCCCGTCTGGTCTAATGAAAGCAGGAAATCTGCAGGCGCAATGCCTCTGACAGTGAATCTGTACAGGCAAATTATGTCAGATGCCTTCTAAGAGGCAGGAATGAGTTAAATGGAAAAGTATTTGCATATTATACATTACAAGATATGGCAGCTTGGGTTCAATCCTTTGTGTGACTTCACTTGAGCTTCACAGCAGGTTTTTCTCAGTCTCTTCTGAGTTTTCCCCTGCTAATCACTGTTTCACCTGCAAAAGACTTGTTTGCTGGGCAAACCATCTGAGGTGCTGAACCCAGCCAAGGAAAAGATGAGACTGATGTATGAATACTCGTTCGGCTAAACAGTGTCCCACACAATATCCCATTTTCTTCTTTGGAAAAGACACAACACATTCACCTGCACCGTATGACTGCAGTCCTTGCAGACCACAAGCGCCTCAACCTGCCTGCTGTCTGGGGAGCAAGTGCTGGGCAGTGAGGTAGTAGCATCTCACAGCTTTGAGAACCACTGCCGTGATTTATGTAGCTATGGAATCATTTCTACACACTGCTCTCTATACTTTGGTGTGTCAGACCCAAACACCATGTGGGTTCTTGCTGGTTGGAACAGCATTCTCCAGTTGCCTCGGTGATCCTATCATCCTGCGAGTGCTACCTGGCTTGTGGGGACCTGCAACAGAAGATTGTCAGTACATAAATTATGAATGCATACAAAAACTAGTTAATTGTGGTCTTCTGAGATATGATGCCATGTATTCTGTTATAGAGGTACCACTGTTTCTGAAGAACACAGGCTCTGTGTGAACATGGAGCCACTACAGTCCTCCAAATGGCTGGTATATGTCTGATGACTACACAGCATCATGCAACACTTCTGCTTCTCATAACAGTGCCTAAGAAAATGACTGTCTTCTGGGATATGACACCATAATCTGGTAGATGTTTACTGACATTTCAAAGGAACATGCTGGCTGTCTTCAGGGTAAAACTTCAAAGAGCCATAGAACAAACTGGTAACATGTGGAATATCTGAAAGAAATGGACCAGTAGCATGGGACAAGATGAAAGGTACTGTTTCTGTATCATGGCAAAAACTTCTACACCATGATACAGGCTGCAACACTCACAACGAGGATATACCCAAAACAGGGCACCTTACCTAGGCAGAACATGGATCCTGCATGCAGCATAGGGCACAAAACAAACAGCGTGGTTACCAACTTGTGAGCATGAGCACAGTACCCTGCACCATGATGCACAAGCAATTCTCACCTTCCAGCAGGTGCTTCACCTCATCGGCTGGTGCAATCGCCAGGCTCTCCAGATTGGCCTCCTTCATCTCTGTCACCAGACGCTCCACCTGCCGCTTCTTGTCTGCAATGGCTGCCTCCAGTGACTGCACCTGCAGAGCGAAGTCATGCTGATATCAGGTGTGCCCTCATTTACTTAATGACACTTAGGTTACACAGCATCTAACGAGATGTTATGTGGGTCCTGTGTTACCATGGTGTGGCACATCCTCAAGTTGCGGGTGGAGGAAGGGCCTTATGATAAGGAAGGTAGCTGCAAATATACTGAATAAGCACTCCAATATCCAAAAAGGGGTCGTTCTACAGCCTGGAGTTGAACGGGGGTGGGAGGATAACAGCTCAACAACATAAAGAAGTCATCATGTTACAAAATGTTACGCAGGTCCTTGGACTTGGACAGATTCACTGGAAAACATAACTAACAGAAAAGAAATTAAATTTGAAACATGCAATGTCTGGAGTTCAAGGGGACATAGCACAAATGAGAGAGAAGAGAAATGCATACAGAGTTTTTGATAAAAGAACATGAAGGACATAGACCACTAGGAAGATATGGGCATAGATGGAAGGGTAATATTAAAATGTATCTTAAAGGAATTCGATAGGATCATATGGACTGGATTCGTCTAGCTAAAGATAGCAACAAATGAACATGATAATAGAGGAGAGTTGAGATTGTAGTGCATATGACAATTTTGACTCTGGTCCTCTGGGTGACGTGAACCTGTGCAGTGTTTGCCTGCGTTTCACAGGAACACAATGCCTACATCTTCAGACCAATTGTGGTACATGTGAGATACAAGCTGTCTACTGCACTTACCTCCCTTTTGAGGCTATCGCTGCACTGCGTGGACATCTCCGCACTCTGCGTCGCCTGCACCAGCTCCCGTTGCAGTCGCTCCACCTCGCCCATAAGAGACCGCTCTAGAGATTGACGGTCCTCTGATTCCCGCACCTGTGACCGCTGCTCCATTTGCAACTCCTCCAGCACCAGCCTGATGCAGGATTGCCAACCTGTCAGACTATGTGCAGTTCTCACGGCGATGATTATGGAGATTACTGTGTTTTTGGATGTTACGGCATGCAGCATGTCAGACTGTCACAAAGATTCCAGAGGAACCTGATGCCTCAGTCTTCAGGGCAGAAAATAACACTTCACGGGGCCAAGGTTATGTACAATGTTCCCCTTCTATTTGTTCACTCTGGGACCCAATCCGTGTCCTCCTTTCCCTACATCTGCTGTTTCTCTTCATGCTCAGCTCATTCTCCTGCCCTGAAGATGGCGGCAGCAGCAGGTTACTCTGACATGTTGGTAACAATCTGCAGGGCTGCACATTTCATGCTTTTCTGAAGACCTTGCATAAATCAAGACAACAAATTTTCTCATACAAATTAAAGTAATTTTGGGGGATTCGCCATTACTTCAAACTCTGCACAAGAAGTGAGACTTTGGTAATATTTTTTTATACTGCACTATTTCAAATTTGTCTAAAGCAAGACCACACTGCAGTGTACAGCATATTTTGCTACCTCTGGCGATTTCTCTGGATCATGTGTCATAATTTTCTGTAGTTCAGTTCTTTTAAATGGCCAAGTAAGGATTGCCCTTGGCTGATGGAACACTGCTGTCCTGTGGACACATCTTTGGAAACAAGGACAGGAAGTGAAGAACAAAAACCAGTAGTCAGACACCCTGTTCACAGCATTCATCAGAGTAATTCTCCTTTTGTCCAAGAGCAGTAACAAGCTGGCTGACCTGTACTCACTCACAAACCAAGGCCAGTAAGCAAGCAGCATGTAAACACTGAGGAACAGGCCTGTTGCCTATTTCAAGTCAGAATCTGAGTGGAGAAACTGAGGAAAATCATGAACAAAGACCTAATGCAGGACAACTGGTTTCAAAGCAGGGAATGAAAGCAGTGCCCTCTTGTATACAAACTGAAACTTACTGAATCTTATTTTTGCACTGAAGAAGTTCTGTCTCGCAGTTGGCAAGCTTGGAGCGTAACAGCGTCTGCTCTGACTTGAGAGTCTTTTCTTGCTGCCGCACTATCTCACTCTCCTCCTCGACCCCATTAAGTAACCTCAGCTGCAAGCAGAAATATAAACTTTCATATTTTACTTCCATTTTCAATCCCAACCATCATAACTCGTCTTACAATAAAATAATCACAATCTGTTGCTATAACAGCTATTCACTAGTAGAATCTGCACTGAAATTTCAGGAACCATGTCTATATACTGACAACCAGTCACTTCAATACAGGAGGAGAGCCAGCACATATCAAATATATCTCAGACAATGACAGCACTGAACACTTTCACACAACGAACAAGACCTTTAGAGAAAGTTAAGGTTATGATATTCTGAGACACGAAGGCATGACATCTGCATTTTTCTACTCTGAAGATGGAGGATCCTCTAGATTGTCGGTATATATGTACCAAACTGTATGACATCATGTCCTTAACCACCACAACCTTCATATTCACCACCAAAATATCTCTAGACTATCTTTCCACCCCATATGGTGATTTATGAAGATGCTGACAATTGTGTATGAAGAGACAGCATTCCCTCTCAGATGATGATTGTGGCGAAAGCTGAACTGACAGACACACCTGCTCCTCACTGAGCCGGACTGCTGCCTCAACTCGGGCAGCCTCCTGTGACAGGAACTCCATCTGATGCTGCTGCTCACGAGCTTTCCCCTCCCAGAATACAATTTCCGCATCAAACTACAACAGATCGAGAGCACTCACTACTGGCATGGCGCATTTGAAAGAATCATAATTTACACAAGTTCATATCACTTTTATGAAATTATTAGTAAAAAAAGAAAAAAAAAGTTATGGCTTTTACAGAGAAATATCCAATCCAATGACGCATGATAGTCATTTCAAATTCAGTGACAGAACCATCTCGCATTTAAACTATGTGAGATTTCTTATGAAGCTATATGATTTCTTCTAGCACCATTTCCATTTCATAAAGATCAATGAATAAAAACTTCTCAAACTTTTCTTTCTTCCACCTATCTTTTCTTCTTGATGTCATGCAGTATGTGGCTGAACCATCTTGCTCTGAGCTATCAAGTCACCCATTGTCCTGCCATGCAATGCCACACAGCCTTGCTGCTGATGGCATCATAAAATAACCCTCCAAACCAAAACAAAAACAGATTAAAAAATCTTGTTTTCTGAACAATGAGAAGAAACAGAAAAATAGTGAGACCAAAAACAAACTGGTTGCAGAGTTCACTCAAGCAGAATTAATGTGTCTGGACTTCGCCCTGCACAAGCAAGGCGAGTCATTATCATACCTTTGTGAGCTCAGCCTGCTGTGTGCTCAGCTTCTCCCTCTGGTAGTTGACAAGACGAACCAGGTCTCGGTATTGAGCATTATACAGTACTGCCTCCTGGCTGGAATCCCCTTCGTTCTGTTGGAAATCCTGATTACAACACAACAGTGGTAAGTTTTGAGCTGACCTGCCTGATGCACATAAATTACCATGAATGAGGAAAAGACTTCAACATATAAAGTAAAAATGAAAAGCAGTTTGGGAAGACCTCTGAAACAATGGAATGATTCTGTTTTGTAACATCTGCAGCAGGTTTCGATATGGTGAATACTAGAAAGGATGTTGATGATGTTGATGGTGAATGATGATGAACATTTGGTGAAGAGCACAAACTATGAAGCTCCTCATTATGCAATATTCTCCATCCATCTGTCACTCTGTCTTAGCTCCAAATATTCTCGTCAGCTCCCTGTTCTCAAACACTATAAGGGATGTTTATTGCTTTGTGATTGCAATTTTGATTTCTTACACTCATGTCGAGACACCATAATCCAAGTGGGGCATACCTTAAGCAAGTTTCGTTTAGTCTTCAACTTGCCACAAGAACTTAGAGGCAATGGCATAATATCAGGTCTACAGTCTTGTGAGGGCGAAGGGCCTGGGGTGCGAGGGGGCGTGCTGCGGGCTGGACTGCTGACTGGAGGAGGTGGGTCCCTGTAGGGTGGCAATGTGCGCTGCAGAGGAGATGCTGGGCCTGGTGGATCCCGGTACGGAGGAGCCTCCCGTTTACCCCAGTACACATATGGAGACACGGTGCTGTCAGTACCGCCATGATGACTAGGTGAGCCTTGGGGTGTTACCTCTTCATCTGACAGCTGGCATCGAGAAGGCTTCAGGGGTTCATCCACAGCTTGCTCCTCAGATCGTACCTAAATGCATGGAAAAAACTGAGAACAAATAACTTTCATTCCTTAAGAGATGAGTGATATCAGACAGACCTTCAGATTGTGACAGAGATCAGAACTACAAATTCCACAAATACCAGAATTTATGGAATGTAGAAGAAACTGGAAAGAATTAATTTGTAAGAGGAACTAAGGGAGAGGAAAACAGCAGAGAGGGTTGAGGAATGGGGGAGGAGGAAAGGAGAGGAGAAAACATGTTGAAGCATTTAGAGAGCAGCAATAATTTTATCTAACACCTGCTTTAACATTAAATTAACTGAATTTTTCTTGTATGATTTGTGGTTCTCACAGCAGTGGTTATGAAGAGTTCTATTTTCTTGGATATTATACTGTGTAATTCGCTGAAAGTCAACAGATGTTTCACAGGAAGATGCTGCCTCCATATTCAGGAACAAACCATAAGCAGAGCTAGAAACCAGTGTGACAGCAGATGGCAAGCAGAGCCAGAAACCAGTGTGACAGCAGGTGGCAAGCAGAGCCAGAAACCAGTGCGACAGCAGGTGGCAAGCAGAGCTTGGCTCATTCTTCAACCCTGAAGATGGAGGCAGCATGTTCCTCTGAAATGTCAGCTAACTTCCAATGGACTACACATCATATCCCAGAAAACAGAATTCTGCATTTTTCTTCCACATGTTTCTTCATACGATTCTCATTCTAAACAGTGACTTTGACCCACAACAGCATTAATTGGTTCATGATGGAGATGCAATGTGCTTACTGTCAGGCAGGGTAATCATTTCTCCTCTTTCCCATCCACTGCTGCTACACTATACACTCTGCCTGTGCAAACAAGGTCTGAATTAGCCAGTGAGGGGTAGACAAAGGACTGAGACATTACAGGTGTCTCCGCCAGTGCAAGAAACATGTCACTTGACATACTGAAGTCATCTACAGGAAAGGCTCCAGCCCAAAACATACCTCTAGCCGTGGTCGAGCCTTCACCACACCCACGTTCTCTCCTGTACGACTGACATGATGCCCACCACTAAATGTGAGGGACTTGCGTATGTCCTTGTTTCGATCTGGTGGCGACATGGAATCATGTGGCGGTGCAGGGGGTGAGGGGTGAGGAAAACCATGCAATGGGTCAGCAATCTTTAGCCTCATTGGGAGCTGCTGACCCCCGAGCTGCTGCTTCGTCCCATCGAATGCAGACCATTGCAAGATAAACTGCACGTCATTGGAGTACTCGCCCCACTTGGTGAGGATCTGGAAAACAAAGACACTCCAGCAATAAAGGCAAAGTTTGTATTCTGTTCAGGGTTCTGATGCCATGTAGTCTTGTAGGCAGATACTGATGTTCTGGAGGAACATGCTGACTCCATCTTCAGGGCTGAAGTGTGTAGTTTTATGAAATGGCCATGCCATAGCTTAGGCAATTAGTCACTGGCTTCCCACCATGGCAGCCCGGGTCCAAGCCCAAGTCATGTCATGTAGGACTTCTGGTGGGCAAAGTGGCACTGGGTCAGGTTTTCTCCAAGTACTTTGGTTTCCGCTGTCTGCTCCGCACTCATTATCATCTATCATCCAGGGTTGGTACAATAAGTCAAATAGTGGCCAACATACCAAATGGACTCAGTATCTTAAGAAAATGACTCAGCTACAGAATCAGGTTGCAAGGAAAATGACCACAAGACCAGTGAGCATTGGATCATAGGATGAAGAGGGAACAATGAATGGGAAGGGAATGATGGTTGTCTAACTAACCTGGAGCGACCAAGGAGAGCTGACACAAAACCTTGGTTACAATAACCAGCACCCTGGTTGAGATTTGAACCAGGCACCATCTGAATAAAGGTCACAAGTGTTACCATTAATGAAAATCTGCTCAGTTCCTCAAGGTTAAGAAACAAGGTATTAGACCCTGACCTCCTGTCACCATGGAGACCAATAAGGAAGAGACACTGCACTGGCTGGCTGAGCTACAAGTAGCAGCAATTTACAGTCAGCAGGTATGTAAAATGTTGGCTTCTAACTCAGATCTACCATGTATGATCACCCAGGAAGACTGTGTAGTTCACTATCTATGCATGCATATCAAAAACAAAGCAACTTACCTTGAGAGGGCACTCCTGAGGAGCAAGAAGCCGTTCGTTGTTACGCCAGCGCTCAATGAGCGTGAACCGTCCCGTCTTGCCTGTTGCATGAGCCAATGCATACACAACATCCTGAAACAAAGGTTTCATCATTATCATAACCATGACCAATCTGATTAGCATTCAGGAAACGGTTGGTTTAAATCTTAGATGGGACATCTTCGTCCTTCCAAGCAAATTCCAGGATAGTAAGTACCTCATTTAGGCTCTGATCACTTCCTTTCAAATCCTTTCCAATTCATTTCATCTATCACCCTACCCTTCAATGGTATACACTCTTGCTACTGCGAAAACAGCCCACAAAAACACACACTAATCATAATTACAGCTTATAGGTATTACAAGCTACATCTATTTCAAATTATAAATCACTCCGCCCAATGTGACCTGTAAGTTTTTTACTACATAAAAACTTAACACCCTTACATGTTTCGGTCTCTATGGATCATCTTCAGAGGGCAAACATCACTACAAATAGGAAACCACCATCACATAATTTGTTTACACGTAAAGTACGTACACTTATATGCTACAATACATAGTACACAGAATAGAACATGTCACAAACACAGCAGTTTCCTGGGAATGTAAGTTTTAAAAAATTGTATAAAATTCCTTGATGCTAATTAAAAGTTTTTTAGATTGTCAATAATTAAAATTCGTAAACCATGCAGGCTCGTGTTCGTCCTCCCATCGTCTCTCTTATATGGGGCAGATAATGTGCCACCTGGCTATCTTGATGTGGAGGTTCTTTATATCGTCCAGGGTTTGCTCGTGTCTGCTGTGCTGTTTTCACTGTTCACTTACATTCCCAGGAAACTGGGAAGTGACACCATACTGATCATGTGGCCATTTTAAAGTTACAGCCACTCGGCCATATTGGGATCTTACTTGCCAGTCCAGGCATTTCTCCATAGAAAGTGGATTCTTACTACATTTGAAATGGAAATGTTTCTCATTTATGATTTACTTAATGATGCTCCTGGCATCTCAGACTATAGAGAGTCAAATAGGAGGATGTGGAAGGAAGTGGCTAGGGTCTAACTGGATGCACTACCCCAGCATCTGCAACACTGGGGCACTTGGAAATGGCATAAGAATCCTCAGGCACAATGGCTGGTTTCTCCCAGCCAAGATTTGAACAAAGCACATATCAAACGCGAGTCTGAGTAAACCTGCTCAGTGAAGTGGGGCAGAACAAGTGGACAATAATCAACAACCACACGTTTTCCCAGTCTTTCAAGATTTGACTACCTACACTTACACTTGCGCATCTGAGTGACATCTGCAGAATAAAATGGCATTTACATATGCACAGTGGCTACATAACACGATCAGCGCTGGTGGAAGGTAACTTCAACCCATCAGGTGGCAGGACTGGCAGTGACTGTTTTAATAAGGATGCATGCAATAACGAGGAAAACTTATCTGTATGGTGACCCTATCTATGGTTATTAGGTGTACTCATGAATACTTCTCTATAAGTGGCAGTCATCTGTTACACTACATACAGCACACCACTACATCTTAAAGAGTGAAACACCGTTTCTCTGCCCTAAACACCTAGCACAACAGGTAACAAAACGTTTTAATGTATAAAGTCTTGTTTCAACATCTGTCACATCTGTAATCTTCACATATATAAAATAAAGACCGTTGCTATTACCAATATGGATCCTTTAGGTACTTTCATATTTCATGTATGAAACTGACACACAAGAAATACAATACTGAAAAACGTTTTATGCTGTTCATGCCCAAAATTAATACTACTGGTCGCAAAGATGGGACTTCAACACTGAAATATGCAGCCCAATAGATAGCAAATTGTATTAATAAATTAAGATTGTGTTTGATGTAAAAGTACTGGCTTATACTACACTAAGTATATAATAACACCATTAACATTACTTCCAAATCGTTCTAACCTATCTAACCCCTATACTTGACAAAGAATTCTAGTTTTACTCGCCATTAGTACCTCAAACACAAATAATATTTCTAAATTCTCTACCACAACTGGTCACTGTACTGCACAGACATATCAAATGTTCACAACAAAATTTTCTACCCAAATTTTTTCAAGTATGCCAAAGACATTTTTGTGCATATACCTGACACGTTGTATTTTCGGTAACTCCACAAACAATCCTCTGAATTCCTTCAACCCAGACTTTCAATTCCATGTCTTGTCACCACGAAGACGTGGATTAGCTGAAGCTGCTGAGCCAGCCTCAGGTGGCCATGTCCACTCCAGTGCCTGGTTAGGCATCCCTGTACAGTGGGCTTCCAAACCAGTACTTACAATGTTCAGGCATCTTCAAGAGGCAAATGTCCTTAGTACCAGCACCTAATTCAGAACGTCAACTTTAGACACTACAACATCCCACATAACTTTCTAGGTTATAAACAAATATTATTTTGGACCAGGGCTACTAAGTGGGTGCTAAACCCTTACTTTCACCATAACAAATAAAATAAAATCATATTGCGCACAACGACAGTTAAATTTCACGAGCAAAGACCACTTCAAACTAATTACTACAGGCACACCCACACATTCAAGCTTTACAACAAAATAAAGTCCTTATACGAGCACCCGTTATACGTAGGTCAACCGCTTGGTGGCTCTGCTGCCGTCAAAATTCTTCTTGCTATTAAAATTTCTCACCCCTCCAAAATTTCCCCACTATTAATGACAGATTTGCAAAGTTAATAACAAACGGGATTAAAAATAATATAACTCAGCTTGACCGAAATTACAATAAAGATATTTTAAAAAGTTCCAGTCCTACACAGTCTTCTGCGTATATTCTGGGGTTCCTCGAATGTACCCACTCAACGCAATGCCCTATACATTTTTGTGATCATTTTTTGCACGTTTAAAATGTACTGAGAGATAACACGAGAATTCGGTTTCATAGGTTCATTACCACGTACTTGCAACTTCTGCAGAAATTTCGGTGCAAATCAACTGTACATGGCAGCTTTCTCATGTATATATAAAGACGGCATTCCCAAAACTTCGTCTTTCGGATTCGCGGTGAGGGGTTAAATTGGTCATAATCCCAAGATCAAATCTTTTTCACCATCACAGTACTTTTGCCTACTCATATACGAGAAAGTATAAAAGGATCGCACTATGAACTATTGTTGCACTTGAAGAAAGCAGTCTTCTGGGATTTGGCACCGTGTATATGTGGTGTTACCCGACGTTTCGGAGGAACGTATCACCTCCATCTTCAGGGTAGAAGAAAAAATATAAGAAATCTGCAAGCGAAGAGGCGATACGTTTCTCCGAAACGTCGGTTAACACCACATATACACGGTGCCAAATCCCAGAAGACTGCTTTCTTCATAGTCACCGCCGTGAAAGCCTCAAATCTTACATATTGTTGAACTTATCTATATATAGGGTTATAAATGTTCTGTCGTAAATATCGACGAAACTGACACGTTCCTACCACATAAAAAATTTGTCCAAATTACGTACAAGGTTAGCTCCACTCTCACATATGTGTTAATTTTCACATCACAAATGTACTTATGCATACTAATGAGTTTATAAAATTTACTACCACAAAAAAATGTGTTAATACAGAGGCCATGATATTGAAACTGAAGAAGTTAACAATTAAATTTCTTGGTCTCCAGACTTAGGATGGCTTACATTGGAAAATACAATGCATATATTATACCCAAATTACATTCAGAATTTTTCGCTGAGGATAGTCTCATCACTCAGATATACAGATGCATTAAAATTAATAACAATTTGAATAATGGTGTTAAAGAGAGAGTCTCCTGCAAAGAATTATTTAAAATGTTTAATATTCTTCAACTTCCTAACGAATTTTTGTTCTCATTATTGTCCTTCATTGTGCATAACACTGAAACGTTTCAAACAATTTCATGATATCCACACCATAAGCAAGGCATATATGACCTTCACAGAGACCACCGTTACTGCATACTGCTGTACTATACAGCTATGAATTTAAATGACCTCTTTCATCATGCTTAAATAATGATACAAAAGTATTAAAGCCAGCATTAACAGATGGCTGTAACAGCTATGTATTTATACGTATAATTGTATAAAGTATTGTATTCACATTATGACATGTTCTACACACTTGACATACCCTATAAAAGGTCTACTGAATGTAAATAAATTCTGTTGTCTTCTGTCAAATAGATATAATGCATTCATTACATCATCATCACTGGCACGACAGCCCTTTGTGAGCCCTGGCCTTCATCAGGATTGCTTGCCATTCTTCTCCATTCGATGCTACATTCCTCCAGTTCTTTATACCCAAAATTCTTATGTCCTGCCACATACATTCTTCCCATCTTAACCTTGGTCTTCCCACTCTCTTATTTCCTTCTGGTTTAGTATTAAGCATTTCTTGATGGTTCTATTCTCGCTAGCACATATTATGTGTCCAGCCCATTCAAGCCTTTTCACCTTTATAAAGCCAATAATGTCTGGTTCATTAAATAGTTTGTATAGCTCATGGTTATACCTCTTCCTCCATATTCCATTTTCTTCCACTGGTCCAAAGATATATCTGAAGATCCTCCTTTCAAATATACTTAACAGTATTTCATCCGATCTTGACAGTGGCCAGGTCTCAGAGGCATAAGATAGCACTGATCTTATAAGTACTTTATACATCATAGTTTTGGTTTTCCTGGGTATTAATTGGGATTTCAGGTGTTTCCTATGGCCATGGAGACATTTATTTGCTGCAAGTACACACTTTTTTATTTCATCACTGATATCATTTTTACAGTTAACTTCTGATCCAAGGAAAGTGAAACTACATACAACCTCAAATTTATATGAGCCAATTTCAATATATGTAGGTCCATTAGCACAGTCTTTCTTGGTTACCGGCATGTACTTTGTTTTAGCATTCATTACATAGCAGACAAAAAAGACTGCAATTGGATAGTACATAAATAATTTATATACATTTTATGAAAGCCTGGGATTCAGTTAGGCAAGAAATATACAACTTTCTCATTAAATCTGGAATATATAGAAAATTGTATTTAGCCTATTTAAAATGTATTCATATGACACCATGAATCTGGTACATTGTTACAAACATCTGAGACAGAATGTGTTGCCTCCATCTCCAGGGTAGAAGGGTCAGTCTTCACACTTCTTCTACCTTGAAGATGGGAACACCACATACCTCCAAAACATCAGTAATGATCTACTGGCCTCTGTGGTGTCACATTCCAGATGACAGTAATCTTCACAGTCATAATCATGTGAAACTAAAATCTCACCTTATTTTACTTGCTGCTGTATACTGGTGTGAAAACTCATCTCCCACCCTGGGAGAAAGATCAAGGATGGTTGAAAACAAAGTGCTGAGAACATTTGGACTTGAAAAAGTGGAAAGATTGTAGTATGAGAGGGTATGGATTAAATTCAGTGGCAACAGACAGGGACAAATCGCAGACTTTTGAGAATGGTGATAAATTTGATAGTTCCATAAAAGCATGGAATTTCTTGATTGTCAGAATAACCATTAACTTTTCAAGGAATACCCTGCATCAGAAGATAGTTACAAGGTTTCTTCAGCACTACAATATTCTCAATACTCAACTAAATGCAGTAAGGAAAATACAGTGCATAACATAATACAAGTCTGGAAATATGCCTAGAGCAACAATTCTGTCACGTTTACTCACATTTGTTTAATTTCCTGGAAAACTATAAGACTTATGGTAAAAGCGTACTAGGCATAAAATGTGCGCTTCATTCCTCTGTACAGCTTGTGTCCAAGCTAATAATCACTGCACTAAATACTTTATAAATTATGCTCAAGATACCCATAAAGATGCACGTAGGACGTAAAGTGTCCATTATTGTCACTGAATTTTAACTAGAAATGGAATGTGTCAACAAATTTTATTAAATTTCCCCAGTCTCAGATTTCATGAAACCCTGTCCATTGGCCCTTCAATTGCTGTATGTGAACAGACTGACAAACAGGGTGAGACACTAAGTACAATCCTGCAACTTTTTACTCCGAACACACCATAACATGGCATCAAGCATTTCATATTACTGTGTATATGATCACTTGGAAACATGAACAAATCTGCTACACTTTACATTGAGTTGAATTAAATACTGTAATACAGTTCACTCTCCCCTTATCTCCACACCATGTTTCTTACACTTGGCTTACACTTCTCCCACAGAAGTGGAAGCATCACGTTTCTCCTGAAATGTTGGCAAAGTCTACCAGACTGCACAAATCATATCCCATAAGACAGTAATATCCAGTCACCACTGCGAAAACCTCAGATCTTGTGCTTAAGCAATGGGTCTGATATGATCCGTGGTAGATTCATTCATGTGGAATGGCCTGTGTAACACTGGGCTTGTAGCTTTCTCAAGTTCACCATTACAATTAAAGCACCAATCAGGACAAGCATATTACTTCATCATAACAATGGGAGGGGGAGAAGAACTGCATGCAATCTGAACATATTTCTGCAACTTTAAACAAGAACTATATTTACCAAATTATATAATAAATGCCTCAAAATTCATTAGATATTGCTTTACGAGCTGTGACAAGCAACTTAACATTTGCATGTACCAACCACACGATACTGAACTCCTTACTATAGTTTAATTTACTTATATCATTTAAACTATAAGTCAGTATAGTGACAGGCTACAGACAGGATGGCCAATGAACTGAGGTTTGATTCCTGGCAGAAGCAAAAGCTCTTCTCTATATGGCATGCAGATTGGCTCTGGGCCCACCCAGCCTCCCTTCCAATCAGCACCAGTCAGTAACATGGGACCTTTCACAGGGATAAAGCAGCTGGGGCATGAAGCTGCCCACTCACCTCCAATTAGTGCTGAATGCATGCACCTATATCTCAACTCCTGCATGCATCTTCTCAGTGCAGTGCTTAATTAAACACAGGGACAATACTATATAATAATACTATAACTTCATCTTTAACATTTTTTTCTTCTGTAAGTTTACTCACAGACACACTGCCTCAATAATTCCCAAATACTGTTTATCAGCTGAGTCCTTTTTGCCTTGGAAACTGCTGTGAAAACACAGTAATAATGCATTAGACTGTACATGAGTACAAAGGAAAGGAAATTTCAAAGTACACACATAAAAAATCAAAATTGAAAATACAGCACATTTTCTGCACCTCATTGGAACCCCTATCCTATGTAACAGATCTTCAACAGGAGACTAACATACAAAATACACTCAACTCTCGATTATCCAGGAGCGGATAAACTGGTTTGCGGCTTAACCGGGGCTTTTTTGAGGCTTACATGTTGTTTAATATTCACTCACTTTTGTTTCACATGGTGAGTTGTAACACTGTTTTCGCAGTTGCAGGGTAGGGGTGAAAGAATGCAAGGATTTGTGGAAAGTTTCAAGGACAGATAGACTGCCCGAGTTAGTCTCTTTGTATCGATCTTCAAGTGCGTTAGCAAAATGTCAGGGTGTAAAAGGAAGCGTGTTGTGATTAGCATTGAACAGAAATTTGTGTGAACTGGGCTTCAAAATGTTAAGCAGTGGGGGTGCAGCCAGAAGAGCAGGAAGAAAGTGAGAATGAGGAAGAGGTGGACGCTGCTGCTAGTAAGAAAATATCACATGGTGCTGCTCTTAATCATTTGGAATCCTTACTAGACTATCTTGAGAGTGAAGAGAAGAGTTTATTAAGTGACAAGCTAATATTATGTAGGCTTCGTACAGATATCTGTAAAACGGAAAATGCCGCGAAAAAGCAAACGACAATATTAAATTTTTTTATGTGTTAAGTGCGAATATTCGTAAAAAGTGTTGGATGTTGTTGAACACTGTGATTGAAACAAGTAATTCATACTTCTGTGTAATGTAAAAAAAGTATTACACAGGCCATGAGATGACATAAAAACGAGGTTGAATAAATTTAAATACAGGTAAGCCTATAGTATTATGAAAGTACAGTATTATAGTACTACTTTTAATAAAATTTGTCTTAACCGGGTTTTCGATTAATCATGATTTCCATCCACACCATTATCCTGGATAATCCAGAGTTGAGTGTACAACTATTTCATGAAATGAAGATTACACTCTTCTGGATGTGCCACTCCATGTCTGATAGAAAGGTATCAACATTTTGAAGCACCTGCTGCTTCCATCTACATGGTAATCCTGGAGGCAGTAGGTTCCTATGAAACACTGGTACCTTCCTGCCAGACTATGAAGCACCCCACCTCACAAGACAGTAATCTTCACACTGATGGGTGACAGAACCTCAAATGTCATATCAGAGGAATTTCTCTGTGAAACATCTGACTATGCCATGCACAACTGTTCAGTTGTGATGAATATGGTAAGAGAATCACAGGTCTACCTTTCTGAAATCATTTCTTTCTAATTTTCTGGTCCAGGAACTTAAGTTTTCTGCTGCGGGAGCGACAGTCATGCCGGCTCTTGTGAACATGCACAACCGCAATGTGCTTCTCTAGATGCCCTCGGCGCAGAAACTTCCTCTTGCACACGTCACATTCAAATTCCCTCTCCCCAGTGTGAATCTGCACATGTTTCCTCAGGTCCTTTGCAGAAACGAAGCCTTTGTTGCAAATGGAACACACGTGCGGCCGTTCAGAACTGTGGATCAGTGCGTGGCTTCTCAAGTCTGTCACACTAGCATACCTCTTGCCACAGCTATCACATTGAAATGGCCGCTCTCTGGCGTGAAAGCGATATATGTGCATTTTGAGATGGCTCAACAATTTGAACCTTTTCTGACACTCTTCACACTTGTAGACCCGTTCTCCAGTGTGCATCACAGAATGGCGTTTCAAATCACATGGAAACTTGAAGCGTTTGCCACATACATCGCAGATTATCTGATCAGGTTTATTATAAAACATATTTCTGGTTTTCTGCAGTCTAGTTCGTAACACAGAGTGGTTTGAAGGAAGATGGAAATCGTCACCAGGAGATCTTGTGAGTGCACTACTTTGGTGGTCCCCGTGTGTTATTGCTGTCACCCCCGTGAATGGATCATGCTCAGTAATGAACTGCATCACACTAAAACATTGGAACAGAGAGATACTTCTATTAGCTCATAATATAAAAACTTCACAAAGACAATCATTGTAATGAAAACAACATGAGTGTTGCTTCAGTGTGTCCAGTCACATACATACATCAGGATACACACCTAAAATCATATTTTTAATCCTCATCATCCAGAAACAGGGCACTTTAAAGTTCTTGGTATTATACTACAGAGTTGGCAGCTGGATTTTAACTCAAGCATAATCATTTACCGGCATACAGAAATCCAGTTCTGAGGTTGGAGTGCCCATAAAAATGATTCTGCCATCTACTGTGACACTATTGACTACTCATGGGTACTGGAAGGAGGAACCCCCGCCCACAATCAGATATTTGGGGGGGGGGAGAAGTAAAAATTAAAATGAAGAATAAAATAGCCCCAAGTAAAATCAAAATAAGTAAATGCATTCCTGTAACAGGCCATGGAGGTCCATAGGGTTATGAGATGTTGAGCCTCCCACATTTTCTAGACAATTGGCTCATAGATAGCAGTAAGACTGTCAGCCTTATGCTCCGGCTGCCCTTTACCCGTAAGAACATTCCAAGAATATTACTGGTACTCATTTCTGTTAGAGGTTAAGTCGAACCCAGGTCCACAGTGTGGCTGAAAGGATTAAGTAATCTGAAAAAATCCAATGACCTCATCAGGATTCAATCCCGTGACCTTCCGGCGTGTAGCATAGTGCCTCAATCAACTACGCTACCGTGTGCCCCCAAAATACCCCCAATAGTAATACCAGAAATTAAAATTAATTAAAAAAATATTCTTCTATTCTGAATACTATGCAGCAATCAATAAAAATGGTCTTAAATGGCTTAAAAATAAGTTTCTATTCAAATTTGGTGGCTTTCCCCCTCCCCCAACCCAGGGAAAAGAACCTGATGGTGGACCTGTGGCCAGAATTAGACCTGCAGCTTAACGTAGACTGGGGCACCACAGTGGAATTAAAACATTTGTTACGCACTATTTTTTAACTCTGCCAAAGAAAATGAACGTCACTGGTTTCAACTAAAGTCAAAGTTAATTTAACTTTATTGAAGTGGAATTAATTTGTTCCAAAATATTATTTTTAACTATCATGATTCTCAAATCTGGATCAAACAACAATAGAAGAAAAAGAAGGTTCAAGTGACTGACTTCTATTGGTATATAAAAGGACTCCAATGCTCACCCATCTTCATCCTCACACATCCCTTGCTCTTCTTCTTCCTCTTCTTCCTGTTTAATTGGTGTCACATGCACCGTGATTTCTTCCTCCTCTTGTTCCAGAAGTGGCAAAGCATTATTCTCAACCTAATGGCACAGGAAGTGGGAATTTGAACTTTGTAGGCTAAGTCTGTACTTCCTGCTTCATGGGAAAAATATCTTTCATTATCAGTTACTATACCGGGGAACTGGTATTTATGTATTAATGGGAGACAAAATGTTGGAGGCAAATTCTAAGATGGGGCTTTGGGTCTTGTTCTTACAAGCTGGAAATCTGAGTGTACCTTCAAAATACAAATATAAGTGTGGCGTGTAACCACTAGATTAACTTGTTTGGTTAGGAGAAGAATGTGGATGGAAGTAATATATGGATAAGATATGAATTCTGTAGAGTTAACGTTCCATTTTCTATTTAACACAGAATAAATGTATGATTGTACAAAAGAAGCACAATCCAAACTTTTCCTACAGACCTGCCAATCTCTTATATGGAATGCTGTTTAAGCTGGCACTTCCTACATTCCAGATGAGGAATATCCTCATTTGTATTAACATTTGGACATATACGTTCTTCAATCATTCATTTCCATCTGTTTAATACTAGGCACAAGTGGCTAAAGTGGTGAAATAACCCACCTTAATCTGAGTATTAACAGGAACAAAAGTAAATTCTGCAGATCTCTTTTCTTCAATCGGATCAGTCAGTTCAGTTGTAACTTGTGGTGACAATGGTTCAGAGTCACTGTCTGTATCAGGCTCTACCTTGATTACTGTAGCCATGATGAGCACTCTGGAGGCTGTTACAAAGAGTAAGGTTAGGTTGGGTTAGTAAATTTTAATCTCAATTCATAACAAAAGGTCCACAAGAAAAAACTGCAATTACTTGAGACGAATGTGACTGAATACAAATATCCACTTATATTCGTACAATATACCTTAAATAGCTGAGAAACAGATATCGCTGACCGTTCAATTCCTATTTGCACAATTGGAGGTCGACGTAACTGAATGAAGATTAGAAATGAGCCAGAGAACAGTTTTCTATTATCCAGGGTCAGCAACTGACGAGCGCTGGCTGACATGGCTCCTGAGGTCGCGGGTACGAACCCCAGCAGCAGCACGTGTGTGTAATATGCAATCCCATAAGCTTAAATAACTTCAATGACTTCATAAATTAAATTTAAATAGCATAAAACGACACGTCCCATAATTTTTTCCTTATAGCAAGCACAAATAAACATAATATCCGAGGAACAAATAGAATTCTATGATTACTTTTACTCCTATTTTTCACAATGACCTCCATATTGGCCTGCGGGAATGTTGCATGCAGCCAGGTTACGGCTCGGATACATGAGCAGACAGCAAGACTTGAATTTGGTATAAACATATCGGATCAGAGAATGAGTGAGAATGTCGCGACATTAATGTTGTGGATCAGGCATGCGGAATTAGCAAACTACATTAGACATTAACAGCAAATAAAGTGATATGCAGAAACAGTATCCGTTCCTGTATCCTGCAAACCTTACCTCGCCTGTCAAGACGTCATACCCGTTGCTTGAATTCTTCCGAGTTATTTTTTTCCATTGCATAATGTAGTTTATATTTGTAGTGCAGCTTTGTTTAATTTAACAATTTACAGTTTCTGCAACATACTGATATACGTAATTAATTTGACCATTAATTCACTGGTTAATGTTGAGGCCGGCGCGTAGGGCTGACAACCTTGCCGCCATCTATGAGACGATTGTCTAGAGAATGTGGGAGTCTCGACGTCTCACAACCCTATGCGTCTTCACGGCCTGTTACAGGGATACCTTTACTTTCCGGTCTAGAAATCCGAGATTTACGGCCGTGGGGATCCGTTGCTCTGACCAAGTGACACCCTCTATCCCCTCTATCCACAAAAGTTGGCACTAACTTCGCCGACAAGCGGCTGTCGCTCGGTCGGTACAGTTCACTTGCGGGCTAAATGCCACGGAGTTTAGATTTTAATGTCGAGCAACCCCCTAAATTGCGTCTGCATGTCTATCATCCTGGATATTTCCTTTTGTAATCCTTTCTGTTTGTGACCCTGTCCTGTTTATTACAAACCATTCAGTTACGCCAATTATCATCATTATTTGACGGATTTTGTTGGTTTCAGGAATTTTAATTTAGGACTTAGCTTCCACGGCAAAAGTTTCTGCTCGCCAATATGATACAACAGGCCGCCAATGTAAACACTCTGCTCTCATTTACTTCAGCTTGTACTCCAGAACACTGTACCGTGTGAGATTGGAGCGGGTCATCACAACCGACCACAACAAATAATTTACAAGCGTTGCCAAGAAATATTAGGATGTACAATACTTCTTTCATTTTACTACGTCAAAACAAATGCGACGAGAGAAAATAATGGCAAAGCCTATTATATTTTCAATTGTTTCCTTTACCATTTTCATCTACGATTTTCCTAATATTTGATCTATAACTAAGTAAATGACTGACTGACTACGAGTCAGAGTCCTCCTTGAGGAGCCACTACTGTCTCAGGTAGCCTAGAAATTCCCCGTGTTTCATGACACCCGAAGATTCGTTACATAGATTTATTGTTTTGAAAGTTAGTGTTAGGTCTGCACCAAATTACAAACAGTAATCAGATGGCGAGCGAACTTGCTGTGGATTTCTGTTTGGACTGGTGGGTCGTTGCAATACATCGGAAGTCTGTTTCGGTGTGGAATACCGCTTCATCTGGAGACTGCGATACAGCCGCAAAGCACCTCCCTACAATTATCTCTGTCTCTGAATGAGAAATCTGCATAACGCAACACGTCACACTTTCATAGAGTGAGAAGTGGCAGTCTTCAATTGTTGGAAGTTTCGAAACGCGAGCTATGATAATTCCATTTGTCTCGATGTTCAGTCCTTACAAATAACAGACTTTGGCATCGAGGCGTGGGATGATAGATATAAAAGAGGAATAGAAGCGTCAGTAAGTAGGAGACCATGTTTTCCTCCCAAACGTTTGTAACGATTCACCAAACTACACGACGTCACAATTCAGAAGACAACAATTGTCATGTCTATACCAATTTTTACGAAAATAATTTTTTGTTCAATATTTTTATGGGGGATGGATGAACGGATATGGCGGTATTATGTGTGTTATGCCTTTTTTAACGAAAGTGAAAAATCGTCATTATAAATTGGAGACCCCTTTGAAAGAAGAACATAAAAATAAATTATGGTAAGAACTAATCGACTACTTTCTTTCGACACGACAGGGAGCACATAGAAAACGGCGTCTTCAACAATTCTTCGTTGCAGCAGGAGCGTGTTTACCGAGCTGTTACCTAGCTACGATAGTTCTGTACAGTAGACTGCTGCTGGCTCACGACAGCACAGTGAGTTCTGGTGTCGAGTTCCACGGGACACACTACCATATTTACTGCCTGACAGCTTTGGGAGCCTAGAGACAACCGCTTAAGGGTTCGGGTGCCATGCTATCCATACCAAGTTTCATAAAGATTGGTTCAGGCATTCAAAAGTCGCTGGCGAGAGGAGAGTGGGTACACAGATATACAGAGAAAAGCCTCCTCTATTTTTTTTAATAATGAAAGTAGGCTAAAAATGTAGCATGAGAAAATGAAACTCTTGAAGCCGGACGAGTTGTTTGAAATGTCAGACAAAAAGACGACACTGCAGTGACGAACTGCGGTGCACTGAATGCGAGGACAGGTCTTGGCAAACGTCGCGCTGACCCAACCGGTTTCAGCCTTAGAGAAAACATGCTAGCTGCCGGCTCTTCAAAGCAGGGTTTGGGACCCAGAAGAGTCAGTCATCGCGATTTAAAACAATCCGAATTAAACCATTTTCCGCGGAGGCTATCCAATTAACTTTCCAAAGTATGGAATTAAAATTCCGCTGCTTTTGTCTCAAAGTCACTGCTTCTTACCTCTTCAAAAACAGAAGCTCGTTCTCCCCCAAAGATAAATGTCTCTCATGACTTTCCTTTTTCTCCTACTATTCTACTATTTTTTATATTTTGCATCCTGTTATGTATAATGAAACCTGCTGTCAGGTGACGACAATAGCATTTGAAGCTGGAAACGAAAGCCACAGTACCGGGACCAATGCAGAGCAACCGTAAGAGGACGAGGTTCACCACGGACTGTAGCGCTCTCAGAAGAATAAGTTGCGTATAGTTGTTACTGGTATTGCGGCCGTCTACACAACGGTCAGTGGTTTGATGACCGTTTCGTGTGTTACGATATGCTGGCTGTATTACGCATAGTGGGGGGGTGCAGTCCAGTTGGTTCCACTCGGCACGGCGGCCACTGGTTGGCCTATTGTACCTGCTCCGGGTGATTATGATGATGGAGAATTTGGTGGAATGAAGATCGGCAGGAGAAACCGAAGTACTCGGAGAAAACCTACACCAGCGCCACTTTGTCCACCACAAATCCCACTTGACCAGACAGGGTTTGAACCCGAGCCGCGGCGGTGGGAATCCAGCGACTAACCGCTTGAGCTATGGCGCGGCCCTATGCAGGCTGTAACTGAACACCGCGGACAAAATCTGGCATGAGAACAAGTGTCCATACGAACATGTGTCCCGAAACACTTTATTTGCGAGTTAAGAGTACATTTACAATAATCACTCGAAAAGCCCTCCATGAGATTCAGTGCATGCCCTGACACGCCGCATCCGTGCAGAGATGCAGAGGCTGTTGCTGAGAGTCTGACAGGCGTCGACACTGCGATGTGAAGTGTCTGCATACACAAGGGCTGTGAGGTGTCCCCACAGGAGCGTGGAGGTCGCGCAGTGCGTCCTCCTCTACCTGTCCATCGGCCATGAGAACATTTCGCACAGCACGGAGCACCAGCATGCATGTACCCAGTAGCTCTTGCAGATCATGTAAGTAGGTGCCTGTAAGCCGATGTGGCTACCCATGCAGTGGGTCCTCCTCTACCTACCCATCGGCCATGAGAACATCTCGCACAGCACGGAGCACCAGCATGCATGTACCCAGTAGCTCTTGCAGATCATGTAAGTGGGTGCCTGTAAGCCGATGTGGCTACCCATGCAGTGGGTCCTCCTCTACCTACCCATCGGCCATGAGAACATCTCGCACAGCACGGAGCACCAGCATGCGTGTACCCAGTAGCTCTTGCAGATCATGTAAGTGGGTGCCTGTAAGCCGATGTGGCTATACATGCGGGTCTACCGAACAGTCCCTGCCCACACATTGATGCTGACCTGCTGCTGGGGTCTATACAGTATTCATTCAGCTATGGCTCACAGACCAAATGTTCTCGGAAACATACTGAAACGGCCATTTTCTCTTCGTGCCCAGAGTTCGTCCGCACCTTTCGGTTACATCCTGTATAAGCTAATGGACGAATTATGGAACAACTATTCTGAGGCAAGTTCGGCACTAGTTGGAGGTGATTCAGCTACACATCCCAGCCGCTTTATCCTCAGGAAAGAGCCCCTGATGTCCAATGAATAGGAAGTTGGATGGGCCCCAGAGCAGGTGCTGGGTGCCTTGCAGTAAGGCATGAAGAGCAAAACGAGGTGACCACATCTTTCAGCCATTTAGTTTTAAATATCAGGAAACGCTCTCAGGCCAACCACCCGCTGCGCTGTCTGCATCCGTGGGGTAGACGGTGTACATCAGAGTCCCAGAAGAGATGAATTGTTCGTGTGTGTCTCACTTGGATTGATTCAGCCCGAACGCACAACTCCGTGTTTACAAAATCTCACCACTGGACACCTAAAGGAGTTCCTTTCAAACTGTAATTTCCAATTATTTTTCGAATTAAAATATTTTATAAAAGTATTTCCGCACACTTTCACAGCCATCAAAATTCACATTTCCGGCTGTTAGCTCAGAAACAATGAGCATAACCCCATTCTATAGAAAGCGACCCCGTGAAGCTACATTACACATGTGGTACAGGAAAAGGCGGCAGGAACTCGCGCTTCGGCATCTCAGCGTGAATCTGCGCTGAAAACTGTGCATCAGGCAATCTACGGCATCCACGGCATCTGACGTAGGGGAAAGTAGATACCGCTTGACCGTTTCCACAGTTGGACTTTTGTCCTTAGGTGGGTGGCGCTTCCAAGCGGTAAAAGCATGAACTACTAACAACGAAGAACGTGCCGTGCTGCTTTCAATGTGCTTAGAACAAAATTGTTTGAAAAATTCTTACAGTGAATTGTTGCTTGGAGGGTTGTATCTTCTGTGTTATAATGCCATGTAGTCCGTTGAAAGTCAACCGGGATTTCGGAAGAACATGTCGCTTCCATCTTCAGGGTCGAAATATTTGGATTGTGCCATATTTTCAAAGCACCTGTTAGTTCTCTTTATGTCATGATTTTGTTCTGCATTGTGGTGACGAGCCAGCAACATATACTTAGTTTTATCTGCGTTTACTTCTAGACCAACCTCTTTACTGTTACTTAGTTAGCAGCTCAGAATAAGCAACGTCCTATGGCAGAACAGTTAGTGAATAATATATTTGAAACCGTGTGGAAGGAAGCGGCGGTGGCATAGTTTTAGGCATTGTCTCGGCATTTACCTGAGGGCTGAAGAAAACCACGAAATAGCTCAGTTAGTATTGCTGGTCTCCACACTGAGCCATGTTAAAGTTTCTTTCAGTTCGCGTTTTCACATGGTTACAAGAATCAGAATTCAAATGTTGTCATTCCGACATATTTATTGACGGTCTCTGTGCGAGAAAGGCAACCATTTCAAGTGCACGCTACGAAGCTCGTGAGTGTGCTGCAGGTCACGGCGTGTCAGAAGACGATAAGAGTTTATCTGCGCTCTGTAATGGCAGAGGAAACGGCTGTCCCCATGTTGAGATACTGAAGAGAAGATTCTGTGCGTGTGAGAAAGCAGCCAGACGGGAGACGTGAGGGGATGATGGGGCAACATGGGGCGATTGCTGTGTGACGTCACACAAACCGAAAGTTTCTATGTAATGTCCGTGCAATAACTTAATTACAAAATGCGTTTCTTTTTGGTTCATATATTCCGGCGCCTAACGACTGCATGAGTTACGCATGTCTGACGCGAAACACGCGAGAGTGAAATATTGTGGCCTAGCTTAAAAAAAACGTAAAAATGTAAACTGTCCCTCTGCTTAATTAATTAAGCATCATGCCATGAAGAAGTATGGGGGGTCCAAGTGTAGCTCCATATTCTTGATTCAGCACTGGATTAAAAGAATAAAACAAATCTGTTACAATGCAGTGACTTTCTTTTTTCTTGTAATGATGTTATGGAAGTTAAGATCAACTGCTAAATAAGCAACTTCGAAAACGTACTCATAATAATAACAATAATAATCATTGGAAAAGCAGCCCCTTTGAGCCATGGCCTTCCTTAGAAGATTCTGCCACAGTGCATACGGTTATCACTTCTTTGGATTTCGCAACAGTATTCTTTTTTACAGAGCAAGGTCGTAGCCTTGCGTCCAACCCCCCCAGACTGGAGGACCAGGTCCCTGTATTTCTGTGGTTCAGTTATACCCCTAGGCGCCGGGTTCCCTTTCAGTCGTCCTCTTCGACTCGCTGGGCTACGCTGGAGGTGGGGGGTGGAGTCCAGTTGGGTCCACTAGGCACGGCAGCCACTGATTGGCCTATTGTACCTGCCCCGGGTGATTATGATGATGGAGAATTTGGTGGAATGAAGATTGGCAGGGGAAACCGAAGTACTCGGAGAAAACCTGCCCCAGCGCCACTTTGTCCACCACAAATCCCACTTGACCAAACCCGGGATCGAACTCGGGCCACCGCAGTGGGAAGCCAGCGATTAACCGCTTGAGCTATGGCGCGGCCCTTACGCTGGAGGTACTCGAACCCGCCTCCACGCGGGGCATAATTTTAAGGTACGAAACCGAAATCAGCCAGGGCGACTAAGGACAGGCATTCTTGTTAGCGCACTGACGGGCAGAAAGCCTGGCTGCTTGCCTAAATCCGGGATGTTTAACTGATGTTTGACATATTCTTGCCGTGGTTAAAGAAACATAACGTTACGGAAGCTGGCTCTGCTGCCGTCATCAGGTGAAAACATGAAACTTCCTCTGCCGGGTCCATGAGAGGGAGCCATTTCAATCCCAGGACGAGATAATAGAGGCAAACATTGTCCCTGTACCTAGTTAAGTACAATGTCATTGGGGCACTCTTAACTTCGGCAGTGGGTGGAAGTGTGTGGTCAGCTGCAAGTCCCAGCCACTTTGCTGCAGCCACCGGAGAGGAGGCTGGGTGAGCCCCAGGGCTGGTCTGGACGCTGTCTGCTTCTGGTGGAAATGGAACCCCGATCCCGTGGTCGCCAATCACATAGCCTAGATACTACACTGACTGAATTGTCGCGACTCTATAATATTAAATTAAATCTTCTTATATTTGAGAGAAGGGACAGTGAGCGTGTGACTCAACACGTAGTTTGCGCACCCGTCCCACGCATACTAACTGCAATCTTTTAGAAAATACTGACCTGTTTGCGAAAGCAATGGCCATGCCCCGGAGTACATCGGATGGTTACACGACTCATAACCAACGCAACGAATATTGAACAAAAACTGAAAGTTCAGAGAAGCCTCCTCAGTCCCCTCCCCCTCGGATCCCGACTGCATCCGGGAGACGGTTCAAAGTGGGAGAAAAGAAAGTAGTGAGTGAGTGACACGTCACTGGAACTAGTCCACCGGCAACCCTATCGCTGACCTCCAGAAGGGGCACTTTCCCCGTAAGAGAAGGGGCCTGAATCTCCCTCCGCCGTGGGTACTCAACAAGGTCATCGCAATATAAAGGGCTGAACAAGGAGATAAGTGAACACAGTCACCGCCACGCAGGATCTGAACGCACTCCACAACATGGATCATCGGGTGAGTTCAAAAACTTCTGAAATTCCGGAGTTTACACGTGTTTCTGGAACGTCAAGGAACCACAGAGGCGTTCTATGCTTAGCAGGGCTACTGACTATATTCATTCCAATGTCAGTTACGTTCTGAAAAACTTCCAAGTGTACGTGTATCAGTCTGCCTTTAAATAATTCTGTTCTCAGTCGATGTCGACTTGCTCCAGTTACTGGTGGAATTATGCTTAAGTTCTTAAATTCCAGTGGTAACTATATGTACCACCCGCTTTAACATACCAAAACTCTGCATTCTGCCCACACAGTGTATCTGTGTGTTCCCTATGGTTCTCACAGTAAACAGCGACGGTTTCCCTAAACAGCATTAACCGTTTGGGCTCTGTAGTGGAGACGTAATGTTCCCTGTGAGGTACGGACTGAATCTTCAAATGCTATTCAAGCTTGCATGAGCTTCGGGCTCCAAATGGCAAATAAAGTGTGTCTGTTTAATACTGGAGTACACATATTTCCAAATCTATTATTTGCAGCCTTGCGTTCACCAGCCGTCATGACTTCAATTTATCGAAAACACAAATAGACTTCCCCCTCCACTACACATATTCGTATTTATTTAACGGCACTGGGATTAGCTCTGACTAAGCAGCGCATAAGTAATCCCGTGAAGTGGCGGCAACTTCTCCGACACTTCCCCGTGGCGTGGTGCCTAAGCATCAGTGCGTCTCCTCAGCAGTGCAGGGAGTGGCAAACTTACGCTTGGGAGGCACATGACAGACCACGGGGAAGTCAGGAGCAGGCTAGTTTTCCCTTCTGTTATCCCAAAACGTAATTTTCTCCGTTGTTTCGTATGAGTATGAAGCTTGGGCTCTCAAATTAAGGACCGTGGGGGGGGCACAGACCAAGATTGTCTGAGCAAAGGGTGCTGAGGAGAATAGCTGGACCTAAGAGGGAGGAGGTAACAGGGGCTGGAGGAAATGAATTATATGAAGAGGGCACGCAGCATGCATAGGAGAGTGGACAAGTTTATATAAATTTTCAGTAGGTAGATATGGGCACCGGCAAGACATATTCTTAGATGAGAGAACTAGGACGGCAGGGCATGGATTGGATTCATTAGGCTCATAATATGGACCAGATTGCTATACGCCCTGCCCATCTCATCCTCCTTAATATCTGTATGTTCATCCTGATTCTGTCTGGTGAACTTTAAAATAATGCAGGCCTTCATTACGCTGTCCTCCCCTCCCCCATGTGCCCCAATATTCTCGCCCCCTTGCTCTTGTGAAGACGGTAATGAACATTCGAGTTTCATAAAATGCTGTGAATTTCTTTACCATCTGAGAAACTATAAGCTTCTCATGAATTTAGTTAGTTTGCTATTCATATAAGTTCCGGGATACGGTGTACAGTGGGCTACGCCACTCTTCCCAATTGATTGCCCACAATCTAACGTGACGTCATGTAACATATGCAGTTGGCAGGGCGATGCGGGAGGGGCCAGGTTCGCATCTCGGCACGGACACCGACAATCCTGACAGTACCTCAGATCTGGCCACGACCACTTCCTTCCACACATGCAACAATTCGACGCCAAACAGTTTCATGCGATGAGAACGTAGTTAAATAAACAGCAAACTGAATGCAGCGCAGCAATGCATGCTTCAGCGTCACGACATGAAGATGTATGGACGCGTGGAGGCAGAGATCCGCGCATTATTAACGTGGGCACTACGGCTAGCTTCACCTTCCGGCCACACTCTCTCGCCTTTGCTGTAATGATTATACCGTCACGTGATATTGTTTGCAGGTGTGTCTCGTGGTTCCCCTGCTGTTAGCCATTGGTCACGTGCTCTCCGAGCCGCCATCACATGGAAGTAAGTACTAAGTTTCAGCCAACTTAATCCAAATTTCATCAGTTAACTTCTTTAATAATCACATATGCTTATCTTGGTTCAGGGCTGCATTCTACATGCACTGAGAACCGTAGACTGATAGTCTCTCAGCTAGTCAAAAACATCCCCACCTCTTTATGCAACCGGAACGTCCACTGCCATGCTCACAAAAGCCCGTCACTGATCCCTATCCTGAGCCAGATGAATCCAGTCCACACAACTTGTCACCCCATTGCTTCAAGCTACGTATCCTCCCATCTACGCTTAGGTATTCCAAGCGGCCTCTTGCTTTCAAGTTTTCCGACCACATCTCTGTATGCATATCTTATCTCGCCATCCGTGCTATACGCCCTGCCCATCTCATCCTCCTCAATATGTTCATACCGATTTTGTCTGGTGAAGTTTAAAATTATGCAGGCCTTCATTACGCTGTCCTCCCCTCCCCCCTGTGCCCAAATATTCTCGCCCCTTTGCTCTCAGCCTCACATGTTAGTGTCGTGACATGGGCCACGATTTGCCTCTTCTACATCATTCTCAGTTTGAAACTCACAATCATTATTCCATGCGACGCTTCATAACGCTTTCAGTTGACAAGGATTCGTTTATTAACCCCAAAAGTGAGAGGTTTTCACAAAGAGAACCTCCCACACATGACGCCTACATTAGTGCGCAGGCGCTACTGCCGACATGGCGAATTTTTGGTTCCACAAGTAACTTGACTGGTTCACCGCCTCCAATAACATCCCTAACTAGATCTTCCTTTCTCTCTGCTTTCTCTTCTCGTCTGCATTTCATTCGGTTAATTTCTGTCATGACTCACACTTCCACAGAACGCGATCGATCCCAGCTGAGATTGTGCAGCGAAAGTAACAACACGTCATAGTTTTCGGTCAGTACAAGGAGAACAAGAAGTTCTTGGAAGAACTAATCGCGCACTTTCCTTTCATACGACACGGACCGCATAGAAAACGTCTACAATAAATCTTTTTTGCGGGAACGTCTTTACCGAGCCGTTGCCTAGCAACGATACGGGAATACATATACAGGCACACAGACCGATGGGAGGAATTTATGAAGTACGCCGTTGAGACGGGCTCAGGTGCCGTGATACACACGCCCAGTTTCATACGCACTGGTTCGGGTATTCAAAGACTAACGGGGGGCGGGATATACACAGACAGCATGGAGATTGCATAAGCCTACTTTAAAAAAATGGGCTAAAAGAAGTTGTAAATATGTAAACGTAAGTATGACATGGGTATTGCTGCACACATAGGAACCAGAACATGACTCACGCTTACTTGCGCTCTACTGGGCCGATAAACGTCAAAATTAAATTCGCCAGCCCACAAATTCCCAATGCGCAACTCGCTGCGAACATGTTGAATAATTTCGGGGCTGCTTCCTACCAGCAATCATCACGGCACAGCCTTCCTTAGGAGAGTTTGCCATACTGCATCCGGCTGTCACTTCCGTGCGTTTCGCAAGTCGTCAGCCCTGCGTCCAACCCCCCTCCTGGAGGACCAGGTCCCTGTATGAGTATTTATGCAAAAAAAGGTAAAGATATCCCTGTCACACTCCGTGAAGGTCCATAGGGTTGTCAGACGTCGAGGCTCACATATTTTCTAGAAAATCGACTCACAGATGGCGATGAGGTTGTCAGCCTTAGGCGTCGGCCGCCCTTTATCCCCAGGAATCTTCCTGGTACTCATTTCTGTTAGAGGCTGAGTCCACCCCAGGGCCATAGTGCGGCTGGAATGATCAGGTAACTTGAAAAATCCACTTAATCGGGAATCGAACCCGCCACCTTCCGGCTTGTAGCGTAGTGCTCCCGAGTATTTACGTGGCCAAGTTATACTACCGGGCACTGGGTTCCCTTTTCGTCGCCCCCTACGACTCGCAGGGCTACAGTGGAGGTATTGTATCCCGCCTCCACGCAGGGTTGCCTTGGCAACAGCGTCCTGTTATTCCACAACCGTCAAAGCGCCTCTGAATAAACCAAGCAACATACGTCGTAGAGTCATTAAGTTCGTGGAATGTCGTTTTATCGCATCACATTACAAGGTATTCACATACACTTAACAGATCCACATCTGCCCTCAAAATAGTTGCTGTTGGCCGCTATGCAAGTCTGCTAACGTTGATATCGCTGCCGAAAACATCGCTGAAACATATTGACAGGAAACTCCCGCTTTGCGGCCATTCCACGAACTTATTGACTGTGGTAGTATATACACAGCAGAAGGCCGACTACTCGAATTGCTTTATAACGTTAATGTGTAACTGCATTTATTAATTTCTCACATTTCATCTGTTTCAGCAGTTTTTTAGTATTAGAATAACAGTACTGTACATTAAGAAGTGTTTTCCGTGGATAGGAATTCAATTCAATTATCCAAATTTCAGACTATCTGAAGTGCTTTGTTACTAATTAATTAGGATAATCGGCTTTCTACCGGGATGGCTCAGTCGGTATAGTGATTGGCTATGGGCTGGTCGACCAAGGGGTAGGAGTTGGAGTCCCGGTAGGGGCAAGAATTTTCACTTCTCCATGTCGTTCAGACCGGCTACGGGGCCCACCCAGCCTATCCAATGGGTTCCTGGGGCTCTTCCCCGGAGGGGTGTAAAGCGGCCGGGGCGTCAAGCTGACCGCTCATCTCCTGCTAGTGCCGAGGTCAAGAGAACGTGGGTGTATACATCCACTCCCCAATACCTCTTCATGGCCTAGTATTTAATTTGTTAAGCACAGGGACAACTTCAATTATTTTGTTTACCTTTAATCGACTCTCTACAGTGTGTGTGTGTGTGTGTGTGTATTCGTACATAGCGAGGTGCAGAAAATGTTGTTGCGGGGGGGGGGAGAGGCGGGAAAGTGCCGGTCACTTTCCAGGAAGTGAGAACAAGCCCAAGGTCTCTCACAGCCTCGTCCTCCGGGTCAAGGTGGCAGCTTTCATGGTCACATGCCTTCGTGCAACAGTGACACTTCTCACAGCAAGCTTCTCCACGCATGGGGGGGGGGGCTAACAGGAGAGAAGGCTCCACTACGCGAAGCACGAAACACACTCAACAGCCGCGTGGACTTGCAGTCTCACAAACCGCCTGTTCCTAGCGTGACGTACGCATTAGCGCAATTGTGTGGTCCTGCACTAACTCCATGAGCTGAGCCCTTCTTGAGAAGCCGTCAGTTGCGCAGCTACTCAAGAACTTCCTAACTCTGGCGGAACCCGAAGGTTCATTACCGTACTCACAAGAGGCCTCTACCAGTACCTATCCTGAGCCAGATCAATCCAGTCCACAACACCCCATCTTATCTCTCTAGATCAAATAAAAATTTTACGTACTACTACTACTAATTTCCTTCCTTCGAAAATAACTTATTCTTTAAGTACTATACACATTCTGCCAACGTTAATATAGTTTCACGACATCGACGCTGACCTCTAAACTAATTATGTTATTATATAGTAATATATAATTGAAACCAAATGAATTGCAGAAATTATAGGGAGCGCAATAACGCTAATACCACTCGCGCTTCATTAGCCAATGTGTACCGGGAGTTCTTGCACCGGGGGTAAACAGGCCGGGGCGTGAAGATGACCACTCACCTCGATCTAGTGCGGAGGTCAAGAATTGTGGAGCTATACCGCCATTCCCATACACACCTTTACGGCGTGGTGTTTAATTAATTAAGCACGGGGACAACTTTAGCTTTTTCACATTTTATCGAAAGAAATCCATAACAAGAGAAATATTGAGAGCTACGACTACAAGTGAAGTGATACACGGACACCAACAAAACCGTACGAACCTTTGAGGAAGAATGGAGACAGTCTGCCTTGCACAGCTGCCATTTTGTTACCGCTCGAGGAGGATCACAGAAAAGGGCCCTGACGACGTGACGCCACACAGATCTGCAACTACAATCCCTAGGAAACTCTCGCACGAAACTAGTGCAGATTCATCGTGTCACATGGATCTGATCCACAGCAGGTGGCATGTGACCTGCTCCGGTTTCCAAACATGGCCATGCCGCATCTGCTCATGTTGTCACTGAACCCAGAAGACTGTATCACGGTTATCAAAATGCTGGCCAATGGATGCCATGAAAATACAAGAGGCTTAAACTTGGCGGCCGTCAAACGTACGACCGTTCAAGTGACTAATCTGCCGTTGTAGCATACGATAAGTAAGATAGACATGACCTGCCTTGCAAAGCCTTGACTGGCAGAAGATGGAAGAATTTTCAGTAACACGCTATATATACAATACCTAACACTCGACAAAGGTGAAGCATATTCGGAAGAGACAAACCCATCTTCTCGTCAGAGAGGACTATAACCGTTAAGGGTTTAGTTGGAAAACATTCTGGTTATGAGCCTCAAGCAGCTTGGCAGCAAATTTCCAGTCATAAAGTAACTCTGAGATGAGATAGTTGGTTTGTTAGAGGACTGCTGGGGTTCAGTTGTTGTGAGTTGTTCATGTGAGAAGCTGGTAACTGAGGCATGGGGACAGTTTGGGGACCCAGAGGAAGCGGAACGTCGGCCGTTGGTAGCCGCTACCGAGCAACGGCTAGTGAAGACGTGACTGTGGAAATTAATGTGTAATAGTGAACTGTAAAATGTAGTCACGCGTTGTATCAAAAGAGTCCAATAAAGCCGACTGCATCTCCAAACCCCGTCTACAGTCACGCTCCAGATACGTGACAATATTATACATGGCGTATTGTTACTATCGCGCCTTACCTCTTAAATCGGATGCTTGTTAAGAGACTGCGGGCTGCACGGTTGTGTTTCGATTCCCGGGAAGGGCAGAAGACGAAAAACATGCTCCACCCCCACAAATCCTGGCTTCTTTTCATATGCACAACGGATCCGATAGATCTGTTTCTTTACTCTGTTAAAACACACGGTGCTGAAATACAAATAGAACTTGGTTGCTTGAAATTTCCTTGCCACTCGGGCTGCGCGAGCATATCAACACTGGTTTCATTGTAATTCGCTTGCAGCCACGTGGCAAGCTTTCGAAACAATTTAATATTATTGCTACTGAAACATAAGTGAAGGTTATACTTTCATTTCTCTCGTATGTAGCCATAGCCATTAAAGTAAACTGCATACAATTCAAGTACGTAACATGTCACTTTCTCTTTGACCCTCCGCTCACTTATTGACCATTGTTGCGGTCATCTGAGCAAAAGAAAGGACTATTAAATTTTCTAGAAAAGGCCAATACAACAGTTGTACTGTTTTAACCGATAACATATTCACGAGGAGTACTGTTAGAATTAACATAACGTGACATGGAAAACTGTTGGCTTTGGTCTTTCGTTAGTGCCATTAAAAGACAAGGTAAAGCTGTCCCATGTAACAGGCTGTGAAGGCCCATTGGGTTGTGAGACGTCGAGTCTCCAAAATTTTCTAAACAATCGGCTCACAGATGGCGGTAAGGTTGTCAGCCTTACGCGCCGGCCAGCCTTTACCCCCCAGGAAGATTCCTGGTACTCATTTCTCTTAGTGCGGCTGGAAGGATTAGGTAAACTGAAAAAATCCACCTCATCGGGACTCGAATCCGCGACCTTCTGGCTTGTAGCATAGTACCTCAACCAACTACGCTACTTTCTTCTTTGCCTTTTACCGAACAAGAGTATGACACCATAATACATTTTAGAAACGGCTGTCAATTCAGTTTCAAGAAAGCTGGTCCAGCGAACGTCGAATTTTTAACCTTGTATACAGACGGGTAGTCCCCTTTTTGACGAAAAGCCGGCGGCATGTAAAACTCGGTATAGTGAACTATTGCAGAGTCATGCAGAAACAAGCGAATGCGTTCCTATTTCCGGATACAGGTTTTAAATTGTTTCCTTTATATCAGACTACACAACTCTGCCATTTTCTTATCAAGCTATGTTACGATTTCGCCGTTAGAAAACCCCATTCCGCGGTAATGAAATCACTGAACAGTGATGGAAACGTGGTCTAAATAGCCCGAGATGGGTTCAGTTCACTGCCGGTTTCACACGCTTTCTCCGAGACTGCTAATGATCGAACACAATGCATACGTTACACATATGGTACAGACGTTCAAACCCAGGGGCGCCAACCTCACTATACCTGTTATTACTGACCAATTGCGTTATTCAGATGTTAATAAACATCCTAGTTAGAGTCCCATCGATTCATCAGATTCGTCATAGAAACCTGGCACTGGCCCTTATCCTGAGCCAGTTCAACACAGTACCTCTTTTGGCTTGTTTTGGACTTCATCCATCGTCTGGTATGTAAAAGACAGAAGACCACGACGTTTCGGAGACTGGATCTGTCTCCGTCTTCAGGTGGGCAGGGAAGGATAAACCTACTCAGTTGGGCCCGTTAGAAAGAGCTAGTCTCAATCCTTTCAAGTCTATCTCAGCTCAACACAGTTCTGCAAAACCTCCCAACCCTAGTTATCTTGCAAAATGACTTACTATACGGCGTTAACAAATTCCCCAGAAAAAAAGGTACACATTAAATGACTTTAATGTAAGGTAATTGAACAAGGGTTAAATTTGATTACAGCTTCTGTATGAGAATCAGAAAAACACAACGACCGCTAATCTTGGTGGCAACAACACAGAAACATAAATGTGCAGTCTGGTTTAGACGCAGCTCATAAAAACACTGAGGAATTTCAAGTACTGACAATCTGTCCAATAAAAACTGTGAACGTTTTATACTGACCTCTGTACACAGATGGCAGAACTAGTTACATTAAGTTGTTCTGTTGTTTGTGCGTGTCGGTTTCAGGTTACAGCTTTGGTGGAGGCGGCCACGGCGGGTTAGGAGGTGGATACAGCAGTGGCGGTTTCAAAGGAATCAGCAGCGGGGGCCATGGAGGTGGATATTCCAGCGGTGGAAGCCTGAAAGGATACAGTCTTGGAGGAAGCAGCTACAGCAGTGGCGGTGGATACAGCGGCGGTCACGGAGGCGGATATTCCAGTGGTGGAAGCCTGAAAGGATACAGTCTTGGAAGCTTTGGAGGTGGTCACGGAGGAAGCAGTTACAGCAGTGGTGGATTTGGTGGTGGTCACGGAGGAAGCAGCTACATCAGTGGAGGATTTGGAGGTGATCACGGAGGAAGCAGTTACAGCAGTGGCGGATTAGGTGGTCACGGAGGAAGCAGTTACAGCAGTGGCGGATTTGGTGGTGGTCACGGAGGAAGCAGCTACATCAGTGGCGGATTAGGAGGTGGTCACGGAGGAAGTAGCTACAGCGGTGGAGGATTAGGTGGTCACGGAGGTAGCAGCTACATCAGTAGTGGATTTGGAGGTGGTCATGGAGGAAGCAGTTACAGCAGTGGCGGATTTGGGGGTGGTCACGGAGGAAGCAGCTACATCAGTGGCGGATTCGGAGGTGGTCACGGTGGTAGCAGCTACAGCAGTGGTGGATTAGGTGGTGGCCATGGAGGAAGCAGCTACATCAGTGGCGGATTCGGAGGTGGTCACGGTGGAAGTAGTTACAGCAGTGGCGGATTTGGAGGCGGTCATGGAGGAAGCAGTTACAGCATTGCAAGTTCTGGAGGAGGCCATGGTGGAGGTGGATATTCCAGTGGGGATCATGGGCATGACGACATCGGTAAGTTATGATTTAATTTTGTGTTAACAGATTTGTTTAAACTTATTGGAATTATTTGATGCATAGAAAATTAGGAAGTTTACTGATGTGGTACAGCAAGAATACACTTACCATCCTCCCCCCCGCCAAAAAAAGAACAATGGCACCCCCACTCCTTCGTGAAATGAAGAAAAGGGTTTTTAATTTATTTAAAAGAAATCAGAATAAAGAAACAATGCCAAACAAAAACTGAGTCAGGATGACACACAGGCTCCTGGCAGAGACTTCATTGTAACATTCAGGTCATAAGAAACATATGCGCTGTTGTGGGCCGTATAACTCACAGCTTCCCAATGTGATGGTTCCAAATGCACCATTAGTCCAATATAGGATAAACAGTACATTGTTTTAGGGGGGGGATGGCTTTCTAGAACTTAGCATATGCTCCACATCAATACAACCAAGCCAGAGAGTAACCAACACACCATGTGTGCGTGTGGGTCCAGGACTTCATTCATTCCTACATGTACTAATGATGTCATAAGGCATTTAAAGTAGGTTCCTCAAAATCAAGTGCTCTGGAACTAAGCAGACAGTCTCTACCACCACCTAACTTGCAACAATCTTCATTGTTTCAGGTGGATATCCTTGATACAGTGCTGCCAACAACTCATCTATTTATTGCAAAGTTCTTCTCCTTCTTTTTCATCTCCCCCTTCTCCCCCGCACTGGAAGGGCTGAGTCCGTGACATCATCAGTGGCACATCTCTCCGAAGCACTAGACCAATCCAAGGAAACGCGTTCTCCTGCCACCCTGCAGCTGCATTTAAACAGCAGCAATTCCATGGACTTGCAGCAGGTGGCAGGGAACACAGGCTGTCCCACGATGCAATGACCACACTTCAGGAAAATACAGTGCAATCATTTGAAACAGAAAAGTCCTACTAACAGTTCCGTCTCCCACCACACCGTTATGAAGCTCACGCAGTAAAAACAGCATAGGTAAAGTTGTCAGTGCCAAGCCATGAAGACATATGAGGGGGTGAAGGTATAGCTCCACCTTTCTTGACCTCGGCCCTAGATGGAGATGGTGGTCAGCTTCATTCCCTGGCCACGCCGTCCCCAGTACCCACCGTATAGGAGGCTGGGTGGGCCCCAGAGTCAGTGTAGATGCTATGGAGAAGAGAAAATCTTGCACTGCCGCGTACTGAAACTGGGCCATCCAGCCCATAGCCCATCACTGTACCGACTCTGTCAAGCTAACATAATGCAGCACTGAGTAGGAAATCAACTTCCTTTTTACCAACTTAAGGGTTCATAAAACCAAACTGTTACCAACTTGAAGGTTGATAAAGTGTTTCAGTGTGGAACTCTGCAGTTTGGAAAACACTGCTCACATTCCATTATAGTGGGACTACCATCTCCATTTTGAAATCTGCATACAGAATGCATATTGCCACCTACATCATGTTCCAAGATGAAGGGCATTTCTCTAATGCTTTTGTACAAGGAAACCACACCAGCCAGATACAAGAGTAACACTGAGAGTAAATGCATTATGCAGACTACACTGACGGTGATGATGCGAACTGCTGCTTGCTGGACATGTGCCTCATACGACCTGCACAATATGCCTTTGAGTGTGAGAGCCTCAGAACAGCATCAGAACTGCCATCATTTGAATGAGAAGGCTCAATGTTAGGACACATATGATAAACTTCGTTCTACTTAAGTTAATTTCATACTTTAACTTTGTGTCTCCTTTCCCTCCAGTTAGCAACGTTTTCTTTACAGGTTACTTGACAATGCTGTCAATTTCTAGGCTACACATTAACTGGACAGGATCTGGAAATAATCATGGCTTAACAGAATTTGTTTGGAGGGACTGAGGAAAACCACTGAAAAGCTCAGTCAGGATAACCAGTGCCCTTGCTGAGATTCAAACAGAGGACTTCCCAAATCACTGCTACAACAACCTGTCTGGCATGAGTTGGCAACGTGATGATGTCTGAAGTAGCAAAACTGTGAATTCTGACTGAATCCTACACATAAACTCTCCGTGAAATTCTGCCAAATTTCAAGCCCTGGAAGATATATGTTGATAACTAATCGACTGGTGCTTCAGATAAGAGACGTCTCTTGCAATGGAACTGGGAAAGGGGGGCATGTGGATGATGGCAATGAAATACTGGACATTTTGGTCATAACACTGATATCCATCCTCATCTCATTTCTGTAAACAGTCTAGTTCCTGCTAATATTCTGTTCTGTTGCAATGTGTTGTATGGATGAATGTGTGATTTTTTGTACTCTTTCAAAATAAAATTATTTTTGTTTACAATTCAACATCAGAATCATTTATATAACAAAACAAAACAAAAATTCAACATCATAAATAAATTATATCACTCAGTCACTCAAGGAGCTGAGCCCTTCTTGAGAAGCCAACACTTGTGCAGCTAAAATTATTTTATATACACTCAACTCTCGATTATCCGGGATAATGGTGGGGATGGAAATCACGATTAATCGAAAACCCGGTTAAGACAAATTTTATTAAAAGTAGTACTGTAATACTGTACCTTGATAATACTATAGGCCTACCCGTATTTAAATTTATTCAGCCTCATTTTTATGTCATCTCATGGCCTATTTAATACTTTTTTTTACATTACACTGAAGTATAAATTAGTTATTTCAATCACAGTCTTCAACAGCATCCCACACTTTTTATGAATATTCACACTTAACACTTAAAAATATTTAATATTGTCGTTTGCTTTTTCGCGGCATTTTCCTTTTTACGGATATCCGTACGAAGCCTGCGTAATATTAGCTTGTCACTTAATAAACTATTCTCTTCACTCTCAAGATAGTCTAGTAAGCATTCCAAATGATTAAGAGCAGCACCATGTGATATTTTCTTACTAGCAGCACTGTCCACCTCTTCCTCATTCTCACTTTCTTCCTGCTCTTCTGGCTGCACCCCCACTGAACTTACGATTTCGTCACTGCTTAACATTTCGAAGCCCGGCTCACACGAGTCACAGTGAGACCACTCTCTTATATTTTCCTCGTTGACTTCTTCACCACCATGAACTTGGTTAGCCAATTTTATCAATTCCACGGCTATCTCATTTTCACTGAATCCAGTGAATCCATGGATTTTGTCATCTTCATTAGTGGTGAAAGGCATCAGTTTCTTCCATGAATTTTTCAATATAGATGGCTTTACTGTATCCCACGCTGTTAAAATCTAATTGTTTAACTACACCTCTTTTTCCCAACTTATTGATAATTTCAAGTTTCTGTTGAATACTTAACACAACACGCTTCCTTTTACACCCTGACATTTTGCTAACACACTTGAAGATTGATACAAAGAGACTAACTGGGGCGGTGTATCTGTCCTTGAAACTTTCCACAAATCCTTGTATTCTTTTACCCCTACCCTAGAACATTGAGTTAGCATTACAGGACGAAAAAATGCAGAGCTCGGTTCACACTAGTGTGAAAATAGTGTTACAACTCACCATGTGAAACAAACGTGAATGAATATTAAACAACATATAAGCCTCAAAATAGCCCCAGTAGCGCCGGTTAAGCCACAAACCGGTTTATCCGCCCCCGGATAATCGAGAGTTGAGTGTATGTATATATATGACTAGTCATGGAGAAGTGAAGATAAAGTAAATAGAAATACCAAAAATGCAATTTCTGTGTACTAGCAACTCACCCCTTCTACCAGCAACCTGTTCAACAGAGTGGCTCTTTTTTTACTGCACTGCTTGAACACATGAAAATTTGTGAGATCCATAGTTCTCGTGGACGTCCTCAGATGCAACTGCTGGCAGCATGGCATGACAGATCATTACCAACTGCCTCCACCTTTACAGTGGAAGGGTGTGCTCCACAGCTGAGAGAGGGCCAATGGCAGAATGTTGAGGAAGAGAGAGATCAGGATATAGTTCTAGGGGAGGAAGTGCAAAGGGGAAGATATCAACATGATTTTGGGATGAGTATCAAAGAAACAGACTTTGCAGTAGGTTGCTCCACGGAGTTCTGCTCTGAAGATGGTGTCAACATATTTTCTAGAACATCAGTAACATTCTGCCAGACTATACGGCAACATATCCGAGCAGACAGGCGTCCTGTGGGCTGCACTGTTCGGTGGATGGCCTCTGACAGGGCACACCTGTCCACAGACTTGAAGTATGCTTCATGCAAGTATTCTCGTACTTGCCACTGCTCACAGCTCGTGTGGTGAGTCTGTAACCATATTTCTGGAGCCCTACTTGTAACCAGTATCCCACCATTCTCATCATCCTGAAGAAGCATACCTATTCTTCTAGATGGCAGCACTTGCAGCACAGGGTGTCACCACGCTGGTGCAATGTCCCTGCTGCTAGTGCTGCTCAGAAACGTGGGGGTGCGCGGGATTTTTGGACGAGAGGTGAATGCTTTGGTGTATTCGTCTTCCCTGAAACAAAGCACACAGTAACGAGGTCATACACCATGCCCCCTGTCTACACTGGAATTAGTCATGAAACATTTCTACATCACGTTATCATTCTCTATTTCCATGTTTACATACAAGAATTGTTCAAATGAAACCTGATCCCAGTGCTGTTGAAGAACAAGCTGTGCAACACAATGGACATGTTAGAGCAACCAGCAACAGTGTGACACAGAAGTCAGGGTTCAATACGCAAAATCAATCCAATGAGAACATGCACTCTGGACATCACCCCCAGTGCCAAGTACAGCTGTGAAATCTCCATATTGCTGTTAAGAGAAAGTATCCTGAGATGCTCAAGAAGGACATCAACATCTGTCCACTGCAATATGTTGGACCACCCCCACACAACCAAAGATTGTGGTCAGACAAATACTTCAAGGTCGTGTAGTGAAGTGACTCAAGCACAAGCCAAGGGGATTACTTGTGGAGGGGATCCATCAGCTGGTATGTCAACAGGACGTCTGCCTCACTGCCCTGCAGTGGCAGCCAGTCCTTCGCCCAGAACAATTACCAAATGGGATTCATTTGAACAAGTCTCATAGCTTGTGTTATGTAGAATTTAGCTTGGAAAACGTGAAAGGAAAAAGACACATGGGAGATTCAGGTGAACAGGAAATGATATTGCCAATGCCATCAATTGACTGGCTGAAGTTCACTTCTTGCCAGTGCTAAACATGTTAATTGACGGGCTGTTGTTGCTGTGTACGTAAATGTCATTTTACCTTACAGATGTCACTCAAATGCACAGAGAGTGTAGTATGTTGAAGTGTGAAAGAATCAAAATATGTAACTGTCGAGTGGATTTCACTTGCAGTCTCCCATTTTTTTGGCAGCATGGGGGCATGGAAATGAATGTGTTAGAACAGATTTTACAGAAATATAGAATGAAAGTGCAGACTAGACGTAACTGGCTAAGTACAGGGCCCAATGGTGGGCTCTTATGAAAATAGCAAACTTTTGGATTCCATGAAAGCAGGGAACATCTTGTCAGTTTCCATAACTGCCATGTAAGTTCTATACTAGCAACACAATGAATTGTAAGGAAGCTAGGTTGAATTCCCGCAAGTGTTACAGCCCAGAAGATGTGTCATTCAAGCTTATCCAATGTGACACTATCTTGAAAACCTGCCAGTAGAGCAAACATTTTTATGGTTTAATAAGACAACAATAACAGAACAAAACTAAAGTGAACCACCATTAAAGTTTATTTGGGGAGAAGTGGATCTGAACACTGAACTACAGAAAATTTTACATGGTAAAAACATATGGGAGCCCTGAAAACAGCTGTCTTTTCTCAAAATTCCAATTCCCCTCATGTGAAGAAAAAAATATAATGTACCCCTGAAAGGAGCCATTCTTGTACTTATCATTCCCACTGGCCTACACCAGGGCCACTATCCTTAAACATTCCTTGAGATCTCAGTGACCCTTTTGTAACAGTCCAAACCTTTTAATACTCTTTAATGGACGCTATGTTCCTCTTCAGCCATTTCAATAGAGTGACTGATTTATTAGGGAGACCCATCCATNCTATCTTGAAAACCTGCCAGTAGAGCAAACATTTTTATGGTTTAATAAGACAACAATAACAGAACAAAACTAAAGTGAACCACCATTAAAGTTTATTTGGGGAGAAGTGGATCTGAACACTGAACTACAGAAAATTTTACATGGTAAAAACATATGGGAGCCCTGAAAACAGCTGTCTTTTCTCAAAATTCCAATTCCCCTCATGTGAAGAAAAAAATATAATGTACCCCTGAAAGGAGCCATTCTTGTACTTATCATTCCCACTGGCCTACACCAGGGCCACTATCCTTAAACATTCCTTGAGATCTCAGTGACCCTTTTGTAACAGTCCAAACCTTTTAATACTCTTTAATGGACGCTATGTTCCTCTTCAGCCATTTCAATAGAGTGACTGATTTATTAGGGAGACCCATCCATTAAGAAGTTATGACTTGCTTTTCGCATTTTGACAGGAACAACTGCCTTGTTTTGTTACCTGCAGCTTGGGTGACCGCTAAAGGGACATGGCCCATTATGAAAAGGCAAGTCTGTAGTTGGCCGAACATGTAAATGTTGTTTTGCTAATAGGGTAGCTGTTATAAAAGTGTCTTCGAAAGGGTGTAATTAGACCCTAAACTAAGAAATAACCGCTTTCACATGTAGGGTTCCGGGTTCAATATATTTGGATCTCTTTATTCTCAAAGTTAGTAATGTTATTGTCTAGTACTGATGGTATGATGAATTGGCAGTTAAAATCAGCCATTAGGAAACTATTCTTGTCTGGGAGAAAGGCCGTCGGTTCAAATCCTATACAGTGATGAAGTGACGCTCCCGCAGAATAGAGTGGGCAGAAGCACTTGGCATTTTGAATTCACCAGAGGCAGACGTATTGAGCTGCACTCTCCAAGTATATCCAAATTTAACAGTCTTTATTTGGTTCGATTAATCTTTGATAATAATAAAAGGGCACATTACTCCGTACTTGCCAATAAAGTTATAGTGTTTGCTTCTGAAATAAATAATTTGTGATTAAGCAGAAAATAGTGTCTTCGATTTGTATCAGTGGACTAGCTTTAAATGTGTAGTCTCCCTGTTGCCCCAGTTATTACCGTGACACAACCCTGAGAAGAGTCAAGTGTTCTACCGAAGCGGGCAAAAAGAAGAGTCAAGTGTTCTACCGAAGCGGGCAAAAAGAAGAGTCAAGTGTTCTACCGAAGTGGGCAAATAAATGAGTCAAGTGTTCTACCNGCAAATTTAGTAAATGATTGCAGTTTTTATGGATTTATAATCGCGGGTATTTAAATTAATTGCGTACGGCTGCCCATAACGGAATTTAAATGCCCGTAGGATAAAGGTTAACCAAGCCAATTCCTCGCCATACACACCTCAACCCTGAAGGCAGAGGCAATATGTTCCTCCAAAATAGTGACATCCATTATGTCCCATCCCAGAACACCTTATCAAAACAACTACTATGAGTGCCAGAGCATCAATTCCTGTATTTACATGAATTAAATTTTACATTGAACATTTTTACTTTGGAGCACTGAAAAAGTGTTACATGAGGAAAACCTTAAATTGAAGACAATTGAGGGATGTTGTTACAGAGGAGATATATGTGCCAGATGGTGACATGTGATACACAAGTCCAGACATCCTGCATATGTCAGCCAGTGGTGAAGTGGTACAGGAGTACAAGCACTGACCTGTGAACTTTGCATTCATTGCAGCACCAGAACACCTGTATGGAACGCCCGCATGCACACACATACACATGATGTCCGAGCTCTATCACCAAAATATGGAAACAAACTTTTAGCTACCTGGACTCACCCGTCCTCAGATGCGGATGCTGCTGTCACATCATTAGAAGTGTGGTCTGTCACATCTGGTGGTTCCGCATCTGCCAACATCACCAGCATGCGGATCAACTTGTAATGCACACTGTATGTATAGTCTACATTTAGTGATCAGCGTTCAGCTCACCGTTCGCCTTGCGGTCTGTGTGGCTGTCACACACGCTCCTCACGTTGCACACAACAGCATCATCCTCCTCCTCCTCCTCCTCCTCCTCCTCCTCCTCTTGTTCTAGACTCTCCAAGATCACACTGGTCAACACAAACACAACACACAGTTCCTAGACAATTCATCATATCCTTACAAATGACTTGTGACTCAACATTCAGTTACCGAGACAACATACGCTTTACAACTGCACACACTACTCACGAGTCACACATCTTCGAGCATGTTTCTGACACTTCTGCTCCATTCTTTTCATGGTGGCTAGGCTCCATTGAGGTGGCAGACTTATATGAGACATACTTCCCTTCTGAAGACCCAAGAGAATGGAGCCGAGGTGTTGTGGGACGCAGTACCACATCTCCAGCAGACTGCGCTGTGGATGAGGAGGATGTGTGCACAACCCCTGCAACGTCACATGAAACCAAAAATGCAGAATGGCAAAACTTACTACAAAAAGAATTATTTCCTAGTTTCCTCAAGATGAAGTATGTGGTCGACTGGGGTATGACATCATGCAAATTCTGAGGTGGACACCAGCATTTCAGAGTACCATACTGACTGTACACTGTTTTAAATATATCAGATTATTAATGAACTGATCTAGAAATACAAATACGTTTTCTGTTGCACAACGTACATTTTATGAAGCCCACAACACGTTCCGGCACATGCCTGCTGTGTTCAGGTCCTCAACTGTGTGCATGTATGAATAAATTCCATATGAGAGATAAACCTCTGGAACGTACACACGAGCAACAGGCTACCAGCTGCGTGTCACATCCACAGTGATTCGCAACACAGCAAAGAGAAGGAGGCAGCACGCTCCTCCACAATGCTTGTACCTATCTACCAGAACCACAAGACAGTCATATCTGGGGCCTGCTTGGTTTTCAGAAACAAATGTCTCCTCTTTTACTGATGAAGACATTGACATTTGCCATAAACGACCATTTCTGTACATTTTTCATCAAGAAACACTATGCCCGCAAAAAGAAAAAAATATATATATTGTAGCGTGTTGTGTCACGCTACAAATAAATTTACGCCGTGGTATTTGATATAGCGAATTTATTCCGCTCGCTCACACCTTACAATCATTACCACTTGCAGTGTTACAAATACTGCTTACAATATCTCGGCGATACTGGACTGTCTTCTCTGGCGGTTTATAGCAGACTCTCTTCTGCGGCGGATATTCCAAAACTGACTGCTTCTCGTCGAAGCTGGGCTATTTATCCCCTCAGCCACTGCTATGCAAATGAACCCTCTGTTATAACAGTGGAAACGTTGCTTTGTTGGTTCCGCGATTCCTATGCAATGACCCATTGTTATTGCATTGTCTCTGTGGGAACGCTTCGCGTATTCATCGTAACCGTGGAGAGTCGATGTTCTCGACACAATGGCTCACTGTTGGGATTACAGTATCGCTATTGTTACTTCCTATGCAATGGTCTGTTCTAGCGTTTCCATAGAAGTGACTCTTCTGGATTCCAAACACGTTACATTATATATGAGAATGAAAACCAGATTATGGTATGTGGTCACAAACTATGATATCTTTTTTGCTTAGTGGGGGGTGGAGTCCAACTGGGTCTACTTGGCACGGCGGCCACTGATTGGCCTATTGTAGCCTGCCCCTGGTGATTATGATGATGGAGAATTTGGTGGAACAAAGATTGGCAGGGAAACCTAAGTACTCGGAGATAACCCGCCCCAGTGCCACTCTGTCCACCACAAATCCTACTTGATCAGACCCAGGATCGAACCTGGGCCGCCACGGTGGGAAGCCAGCGACTAACTGCTTGAGCTATGGCACGGCCTATAACTATGATATCTTACCGTGGTATGGAAACACCAGCCGATACTGCTGGTACAGTAGCTGGTCTCCACTCAACTCGCCATGTAGGCTGTGCACTGGGTCATTGCTGTCGAGTTCCTCTTCCAGCAGATCCATCTCCTCCTGCAGAACAGATGGAATTAAGACTCCAGCAGGACAAGAAGTTCTCAGAAGAACTGAGCACCATGCCAAGAAGAAAAGCCTTCTAGGGCGCTACATGGAGACAGCAATAACGAGAGGTTCAAGTCAATTCTAAATTAGTTCCACTTATTTGTACTTTACTTCATGACGCTGTCAGCAATGCAAACTATACTTGGACAGGAAGTGGGTACTATACTGGCACTTTTCTGGAGGGACTGAGAAAAGACATCAAAAACCTCCATCAGAGTAGTCTGTGCCCTGGCTAAGACTGGAACTGGGCACTCCCCAGAAGTCAATGTGTAACCGCTTACTGGAAAACTGACACAAACTGCTCAGTAAGTGAACCGCAAAGGGTTCTGTTCTGGCACATGGTATTCACAGGCTTCTGAACTTTGTCAGCTGGACCTGTTTCCATCTTCAAGACATATTCCGATATGGCTAACAGACAGGATGTTATGCCGCAGAGTCTTGTAGACAGTCACCAACATTTTGCAGGAACCCAAAGCCTTGATCACACTATACTGAAGAATCGAAACAGATCTTTCAAATGCATCAGACTGGTGGGTAAATCCCCATATTTCCACCTGAGAATGGAAATAGATCCAATTTCCAAAATGTGTTCCATTCAGAATACGGTGGAACTCCAATGTAATGATCCCCAGTTTAAGAATTTCCCCCATCTTCATCAGTTTAGTGCACAAATCCACTAGCCTCCTGAGAAACAAAGTGCAGAAAACCAATAATGCTACTTACCATGTCATCATCACCATTCTCCTGGTCAGAAGTAGAACTGTGGTCTGGCTGGCAGTGCCCTCGATGCAGCTTCAAGATGTATTCCAGCTGCTTGCTCATCTCCCCGTCACTGTTCTGGGAGCATAATCAGTACACAGAAAGTTACTTCAAAATCCACGGCACCACTAATCTCACAACACACAGCACCTGCTATAGAATCATAACATGTGAGCAAAACTGTGAGGGCTGTTGAGGAAACAAACGTTCCAAAGCCCAGTGGTTACTATATATACCAGCTGCTTTAGCACACCAAAACTCTGCATTCTGCCCACAGAGTGTAGCTGTGTGCTCCGTACGGTTCTCACAGTAAACAGCGACTGTTTCCCAAAACAGCATCGACCAGCTGGGCTTTGTAGCGGTGACGTAATGTTTCCTGTGAGGTACAGACAGGATTTTTTATATTTTAGTAGAAATTAAGCCTTTAAAGGGTTTATCACCTCCCATCAATCTCACTGCTGCCACCCACAGTGGGTGAACACCACAAAAACAACATGCTCACACACTGTGTAAGGAAATATCATATTAAAACAGATAAACTACACAAAATAAAAAAAATATATATAAAACCAAATTTCAACATTAATGATACTGAACATATGAACACAGTAAATCCTCGTTATAACAGACTAATGGTGGGGAAGGATGTCTGTTACCACCGAGTGAAGGGGTATTCATAAAAGTACACCATAGGTAACAGAGTAAATACATGGAATAAACACAGAAAAACACAATGTGATTAAATAAAGGTTTTTATATTGGGGTTCTTTTTTATTTTAAATAGTATTCTAACTACAAAAGGGACACACGGTATTGTAGTTGGTTGAGGAGCTATGCTACAAGCCGGAAGGTCGTGGGTTCAAGTCCCGATGTGGTCACTGGATTTTTTCAATTGACCTAATCCTTCCAGCCGCACTATGGCCCTGGGGCTCACTCAGCCTTCTAACAGAAATGAGTACCAGGAATTAATTAAATAAGTTTCCTGGGGAGTAAAGTGCTTGTACTTGTACTCTTCTCCAAGAATAACTGGAATTATCAAGTCAAGGAGGATGAGGTGGGCAGGTCATGTAGCACATATGGGAGAGATGAGGAATGTGCATAGGATTATGGTGGGAAAGCCAGAAGGAAATAGACCACAGGGAAGACCAAGGCGTAGGTAGGTGGACAATATTAGAATGGATCTTAGAGAGATAGGATGGGATGGTATGGATTGGATAGACCTGGCTCAAGATAGGAACCAGTGGAGGGCTCTTGTGAACACAGTAATGAATCTTCGGGTTCCATAAAATGCTGCGCCATCTTTGAGCCGACCGTCTAGATAATCTGGGACACTCAGCATCTCACAAACCTATGGGCCTTCAGGGCCTGGTACAGGGATAGCTTTACTTTTCTTTTCTAACTACAAAACCTTCTTAGTTCTTCAACATCTCCAAAAATTCAAAAATTCAGAACTGAACACAGTCAGATTTTGCCTAATGGGAGTTTACTGTATTCAGATATCACTAAAGTGGAACCTGACTTATATATTGCCCTGCCATCTGTTGTTCCCCGACAGACTACTAGAAGATATGTCAGGGAATGCAAACAGCAACTTAACAACACTCAGCATAGGACTACAATGTGCAGATAAAAATTTGTAAAGCTGGTGACAGAAAACTTCCAACAGAGAATATGAAAGGATGAATATTGGTTGAAACATGTCAACAGGGTGCAACAGCATGCTTCTGTTGACATGTCAATGAACCTTCAGATTCCTTTAACTGGAAATTGCTTGACCAGAGATTCTTTAAAATCCTGCTTCTTCAATTTAACTCTTTCCATGTTGCATCTGCCTAGTTTAGAATAAAGAAATATCAAGGGTAATATATTTGCCTCTGATCCAACTTAAATTAACCTAACCTAACTTATCCTGCCAAACCCGTAGCATGGGAAGAGTTAATGTACAGCTGATACCCGTCAGGGTTCCTTAAACCTTAATTCAAGCACTAACCTTAAGGTAGAACTCAAGCATGTCACAAAGACCCATGTGCTTGGCCTCGTCATTGATCTGTGGATGTGCAAGCAAGCTATACAGGGCTCCGTTCACATATGGGATGGCCTACATAACAAAATAAGTACAGAATTTCAATGGTCAACAAATGTTGGCCGAGTATGCCAGGCAGTCAAAAATTCTGCCCTACAGACGTACCCCACAAATCGACACATACCTACCTCTTCAATGAAACAGCTTGCTCACTGTCAAACAGAAACCTGACCCTCCTACTACACAGTACAGATAACTCCCAGTCATTTGGTATCCAAGCATCCAAAATTCTCATGTAACTGGCAAAAAATAAACCAAAAAAAAAAAAAAACACATTTTTTTTCAAAAACAAAGTTGCAATGTGTATATGATCACCTGACATACAGTAGATCTCCCAGCAACCACTAGCAGCGCTGTCCACTGTTCTCCTGCATCTAGTGATCTGTGTAGTCTAGCAGAACCTGTGACTGTGTTACAGCACAGTCTAGCAGAGCCTGTGACTGTTACAGTATTTCCAATATCTTTCACTTGTCAATCCGCAGTGTCACCTAACAAGTCTCCTGTGTAAGAACTAAAGTGAAACAAATGTGGAAATATACTTGCAGGAAAAGGGTGAAAACTGGGTTTCTGTTTTTCTTGTATATCTGGCAGATTCACACAACTGGAATATTCTGCTCCTCATACAAGCTTGAGACTGGAGTGTTTACTGCACCTACACAAAATATTATGTATTGTTTGATATGTGTGGAAAAATACGAAAAGAAACCAAGAGAGAATGTTAATGAGTAAATTCACACATTGTTTTTTGCTCCTTCACCTCGATTTCTCATTTGTCACAGATGATGAGACAAGACTTGCTAACCCCAGAACATAATGGTGTGACTGTGAATAGCCAGGATGTAACAACCTGTTATTATAACCTTGTGTGTTTTTTGTTGCAGTCAATATAGAGCATTAGAGAACTATGCCACAACAGCTGCACATCTCCTGTACATAGGGACAAGAGTAGTGAGTAAATTTCATGACATTTTGAGTATTCTCTGGGGAAGGAAAGGAGAAACAGATATGTTACATTTTCATACATGTCAGAAGATCCTCAATTACACATAAATTGCCTTTCACAGAATAATAATGGGAAGACACGTGATTCAGTGAGGCATGCCACGTCACCTGTGTCATTTTGGTGCCCAGCAGTGTGATCAGCAGTTTCAGCACCGTCTTGGCAACAGGCACACAGCGCTCCTTGGCACTGCGGTGAAGACAGAGGTTCATGAGTAGTGCAGTGCTATACTCCAGAGTGTAGGCCTTCATAGCGTTCATGTTGGCACTAAGATGTTTGATCAACCACTCCACTAGCCCCAGCTCTATCATCCCCACTCGCTGGCTATGCCTGCACATAGAGCAATCTACACTGTTCATGAGTTGTTACTACCTACCGGGTTTCTGCCCCTGTCCATCATACAGTATGCCACTAACTAACTTCATTTAAGGTACAACAGATCACAGTGGTCGTGGTGCAAGGGCCAAGAAGGCCCACCCCTCATACATTCATTCAACTAACTTCATGGAGAACTGTGCAGCTATTCAAGAGCTTTCCAGCATTTTATGGAATCTGAAGGTTCACTGCCATGTTCACAAGAGCCCTCCAATAGTCCCTGCCCTGAGCCAAAGACTGATTCAGTCCATACCACCCCATCTTATCTAAAAATTCATTTTAATATTACACACCCACCTACATCTTGGTCCTCCTAGTGGTATCTTTCCTTCTGGCTTTCTTCTTCTTCTTCTTCTTCTTCCTCCTCCCCATTCGTGCTACATGCCCTGCCTAGCCCATCCTCCTTGACCTGATCATTCTAATTATACTTGGAGAAGCTCCTCATTATGCAGGTTTCTCCAACATCCCGTCACTTCATCTCTCTTTGTTCCATATATTCTCCTCAGCACCCTGTTCTCAAACACCCTCAGTCTATGTTCCTCCCTTAATGTCAGAGACCAAGTTTCAAACCCATACAGAACCACAGGCAAAATTATAGTTTTGTATATTCTAATTTTTATGTTTTTAGACAGCAGACAAGAAGACAAAAGATTCTGGACTGAATGGTAGCAACTGTTACCTGAGTTCAATCTCCTCTTAATTTCCTCCTCAATCAGGTTTTGATTTATCATCATTCCCAAATATCTGAACTGTTCCACAATTTCATAACATCTGTTAGCTATCTTTATGTCATGATTTTGTCTTGCATTGTCTTTACTGACTCAAACAAAGACTGTGAATCTTAATCACAACATAAAAGCCATGAAACATTCCAAAGCCCAATGCTCACACTTGGGGGCCAATTCAGACAATGAGCACAAGCTGTTCTAAGGCACACAGCATAACATTAGAAGATTATATTACAAACTAGAATACACTGAAATTCACCTCAAGCTGAGTTTCTGTAGTGTTGCCAAGATCATGTCAGCTGTCACATCGTCTATCTTAATGCCCTTATCACCCTGCAGGCAGTGTACCAGCACCCTGAGAACCCCAGATCCTGCAGAGCAGAGATAGTCCCGTCCACAGCGCAGAGAGGCCACAGTATTGACTAGCCGAGCTGCAGCCTGCTGTAAGGGATGGGGGGTGGATGCATGTGTGGGGTTAAAGTGTGCAGAGAGGGGTAGCTGCACAGGGGAGGGCTGTGGAGAATGATGGAGGCTCAGGATATCACGACGGAAGTATGATGCTACCACAAGGTCTCTGTCTTCAGGGGGACTCTTGGTGATGCGCTGCAATACAAGGACAAGTCAGGTGAAAAACCAAGGAAAAAGTGATCTGTGTACAGGAAATGGAAGCTTCTAATCCTGTTCATAATGTTACACATTTCAGGCTACCCCATTTCACCTGATGCTCATGACATGTTTCTAAGGTACTGTGTAACAGAGTAAACAGTAATGTCAAAATGAAACTAGATATCTAAGCACTGCAAATTTGGAGCTCAAGTGCAGCAGATTTCCTGAACACGTCTCTTCATGACAGTGACAGTGAAGCAGTTTATGGGTACTGCACTTTGTCATGACAAAGACACTAACATAAAGCTGTATTATTCAATTACAAGCGTTTAGCCAAGTACAGGGGCTCACCCATCTGAGAGCTTGGAACAGCAGCAGCTTGGTTTTCATGCTGCCACACGACAGGTTCCACTTTATCTTGTGGAAGTCCAGGTCAAAGCCTATGGCAGGGTGGTCCTCTTGACTCTGGGGTACTGGGCGACAGATGGCATCCTCTGGCGTTGCCTGCAACAGCATAATACCTGGGTCCAAATCTCAGCTCAACCGAGGATTTCTGTGGATTTCCTCAGTCCCTCCAGATAAATGCCCACCTTGCCAGCCTTGTGAATGCTAGTGCCACCAGCAGCACATGGTGCTGAAAGTGTGTACGCCAACAAATCATTGAGAAATATGAAACTTTTAGCATGATACATTTTTTTGGTCTGACAGAGATAATTGATGAATTACTGCTTCTACACATACGAAATGTTGCAGCGAGATATGTAATAAATGCATCTCTCAAGGTAATACCTAAACAGACCTGGAACAATCACAAAATAAATCACAAAGAATATCTCAAAAGAAGAAACTAAGAGGGATTAGGGAAAAAGAAACAAGAAGGGATAAAATGAGAAACAAAACTTATACAGAAGACGTTGGAATTCAAAACTTGTGAAGAGAGTGTAGAAGAGAAATGAATACAACATGTAAAATCATGGACAGAACAAGGATACTAAGCGAGCATTAGAATCAAAATTTGAGGGAAAGAGACCTACAGGCTGATCCAGAACAAGATGATTCAGCCATGTAGTGGAAGACAGCAAGAGGAGTGGCAACAGTTGGGAAGAAATCAAAAGAGAAGTTTATGGCAATAAAGAAGAGACTGGAGGCTTTTCATCCACTGACAAACAGAAAATGGAAACGATACCAGAAGGATGAGGATGACATGAACGAAATTACACTGAACTACCTCAAGATTGGATCCATCTGCAGACCTTCGTGCTAGCCGACATTCAAAGCAGGTGACTCATCAACACTGGTTAGTTTATGGGACCTAAGGTTACTGTCTTGTAGGAAGTGACACTGTGCAACCTGGTCAATCATTACCAGTTATTCGGAGGAACACGTGCCTCTAGCTTCAGTGAATGGGGCTGACAGACAGATGGTGCAAAAATTTCACCATGAAGCTGGAGGCAGCACATCCACCTAAAACTGGTGTAATGACTGAAATTACTGTACAGCATTATATCTCACAGGACAGTGATGATTCCCTTGTCACACTGATCACTGTGGTCACCTCTGACTGCTGTTCTGTTCCTGGTGACTTGGTGAAGAGGTCTGGGAAGATCTTGGTGCAGTTGTCCAGGGTCGCCTTTAAGTCTACAGCCTGCCCCTTCACAGAGTTCTCCAGTGCGCCTGTCAGCTCTGCAGCAACACCTACACAGCCATACAACAGATATTGTTTCCACCAATCATGACTTAACTGTTGCATGCCTTTTGTGCATGTATGTCAATTCTAGCTCATTTTTTAAAGTAAACGTAATTTCGGTTCATGTTAGTCCAGTATTACCCCTACTTAAAATGCAGGTGAAATCAAAAGTTCATGTTTCTAAAAAGAAAAATTAACAATAAAAGAAATTATTATGCAATGTACAATACAGAGGTCATTCATATTTACAGATCCTATTTTGAAATATCTTTTAATATGATGTATGATACTGTCCATGTTCTTAGACTGGGCCATTCTCAGCAGAATGCTGAGTGACTTTGGTTGAGTCCACTGACTGAGATAAGGACTGTAGGATGTTTATGGATTACAAGATGGTTCATCAACCTGTCTCCCACAATGCAGCTGCAACCACTGCCCCACAACTTCTTGCCATATTCCTCCTCACATGCAACCCACAAAAGAAAAACCATGATCTGTACACGTACTGAAATGCAACATAGAAACTACAAACCACACAACAGAAATACCGATCAACACTGGCTCTTATTTATGTGTTCCTTATTTAATCTGGGGGTTGTGTGTAACAGCCAACAGTTTGGCCTTGTGTTACCCTGATCGGCTAAGTCACCCTTCCATAAAACACTCCAAGTGACAGCCACAATTTGGACACTCCCTGTCTACAGCACCTGATCAAAAAGTACAAAACTCACCAAGAAGGTTGTGATGATCCTTGTAAAGTCTCTGGTACCTTCGCTTGAGCTGCTTCAAGTTCCTGTTGGCCTCCAGCAGTTGTGCATATGCCTTGTGTGCTGTGTTGCACTGGGCCTCGAGCCCCAGCTTGAGCAGTCGTGGTGCCACTGCTGACCCCCAGCTGTGATTCACAAGAAAGTCTCGCAAATTTCCCGTCAAGCGCTTCACCCAGCTCTCCTGGAAACAAAACTTTAAGCTCTAAAGGGTTCATTTTCTTGTCAGGACTGTGGCCAGTTACGCACAGAAGTCTGATATAGAAATTCAAAGAAACTTTTGAACAGAGAATAATACGCTGATCTAACAATGATTTTCAATTCTAAACGATAAATAAATTTAGAATTCTATGAGTGAGAATGAGTGGACACACTTCAAACACTTTTATTGAAAAAATAAACAGAGCCTAAAGAGTGAAGTTTTCACCACATGACAGCAGAACTGTCAAAAGTTTCACATGAGATACTTGTTCTAACGCGCGCACATGACGACATGCGTGTCAGTTTCAGGGCATCTGAACACTGGCTGGACACTGTACAAGCAACAAAGGTAGTTCAAGTTGAAGTACAGTGAAATTGAGAAAAGGGGGGGGGGACTTTCTGAGCGACTGTTTCATGTGGTGATAACCGTATTCTCCTAGCTCTGCTTATTTTCTAAGCAAAAACATTTAAAATGTGCATATTCTTTCTCAGACACCCCATATACGATGGGGTACCCAAAAGAAACCGAACTAATTTTTTTGTGGGCAGAGCTTTTGTAGTACCGCGTTTTGCCGCCATAAGCGCATAGAGCTAACATTCCTGAGTCGATAAGCCGACTACCGTTGCTTCAGAAGGTAAGGACTAGTTTCAGCAGAGTTTATAGTGACAACTGTTTTGTGTGATCATCGTTTTTGCAATGGCTGATTTTCGTGAACAGCGTGCGGCGGTGAAATTCTGCTTTTTGCTCGGGAAAAGTGGAACAGAAACTCTTGAAATGTTAAAAACGGCGTACAAGGACGATGCTATGGGGAAAACTCAAGTGTTTGAGT